ACCTCAGTGAAAGAATGCATCTTAACAATGGCACCAACTCTCTTCTTCATCTTCCTAATGCAACTTGTAGCCAACACATGCAATGGTGTGTCCATACCAAAATTCTCTGCTGTTCTCGTCTTTGGTGACTCGACAGTTGATACAGGCAATAACAACTATATCTATACCATATTCAAAGCCGATCATCAACCATATGGCCAAGACTTTCCCGACCATATTGCTACAGGGAGGTTTTCTAATGGAAGACTCATCCCGGACTTCTTGGTCACAATACTAGGAATCAAAGAGACTGTTCCTCCTTTCCTTGATCCTAATATACTGGATGATGAACTACCTACAGGTGTGAACTTTGCATCTGCTGGATCAGGATATGATGATCTGACTACTGTTGCAACTGGTGCAATCCCGGTCTCAAAGCAAACTCAGTACCTAAAGAGCTACATTGAGAGACTTAAAAGAATCTTGGGGGAAGACAAGGCTCAGAGTATAATCAATGATTCTTTGGTTGTCATTAGTGCAGGATCAAATGATTTTATATTCAATTTCTATAACACCCATAAGGAGGCTTCAGTTCGACAGTGACGGGTACCAAGATTTTGTGCAAAATAGGCTACAAATTTTTGCCAAGGTTAAATCTCTCTCTCTCTCTCTATGTAATGGCTCTAAAACTAACATGCTAAGTTGTAAGTTAGATTAAATCAGTATATTGATCTACTGCTATAACAATGCTACATCTATATTTAATAGTTTCTATTTTTTTAGGAACTGTACAATCTCGGGTGCTGTACAATGGCGATATCTGGGCTTCCTCCAGTGGGTTGTCTGCCACTCCAAATGACAGCAAAATTAGAGCCTCTCTTTTCAAGAACTTGTTTAGATGACCAGAACAGAGACGCTCAATCGTATAATCAGAAGCTCGTAAATCTTTTACCTCAACTTCAGGCATCACTTCCAGGAACCAGACTTCTCTATTCTGACATATATTCGCCAATGAACAACTTGATCAACAGTCCCCAAAAATATGGTACGGTTAGCTTCCAAATTATGCACATCATTACCTTCCACTATGATTGGCATATACTCCGTATGACACATTTTATGTTAAAAAACATCAAACATGTTTGTTGGGACTGCTTATAAGCTTATCATCACCATAGAACGGATAACATGAGTTTAACTTTTTGTAATAACAACGAGAAGATATAGATACCCGTATTTTTATATAGAGAAAATGTATGTGTGTATATATAGTATACGAGGACATCTTCATCAACTGTAATTAACTCCAAAGGCGAATTTTACTGACACAATTTGTGACAGGATTAGTGGAAACAAGTAGAGGTTGCTGTGGGACTGGAACAGTTGAAGGAGCTGCCCTTTGTTCATCAATCACTCCAGTATGTGCAAACAGTTCCCAGTACTTGTTCTGGGATAGCATTCATCCCAGTGAATCAACATATCAGTACGTGACTCAATATCTAATAACTGATCTCTTAGGAAAGTACTCAGATATTGGCAGTCATTGATTGTTAAGGATGCATGCCCAAGTTCAGAAGTATGACGTTCCCGGGAAGCAAAAATGAAGCAGGATGTTCATTGGACATACACAAGATCAAGTAAGAGGTTTTATTTAGGATGTACTGTAGGGCAAAAAATTAGTTAATGATACATTATTGGATTAAAAGTTGCCTGCTATAATTGTTGAGATTGCATGTTCTAAAATTAATTAAAATACTTTGTGGATCTTCACTCTACTCAATGTGCAGTAGATGAAGATAAAGGTCCAAAATAAAGTAAAATCCTCTCCAGCGCACTGGAGAGGGATAAAGGTCCATCCCAAACAATACAATTTGAACAACCAACACATTTTATTTTATTTAATTAAAGAGGTTAGGAAACAATTTCACTGTTTTGGCCCCGTTGTGGTAGGGTCTTGGAGATCGAAGACTCAAAACTGAACAAACCTTTGGGTTTTGACAAAGTGATTGCTTTAAGTCTCAAACTCGAATTAATAGCGTCAATGTTCAAGCTTTTTACTGCTAAATTGGACAATAACCATCCTTCGGTAAATGAGATTCATTGTTCAAGCTAAAATGAGTGTGTTAAGATGGATGAGTGGAATAGTAGAAGAAATAGGGTCACTAATGAAAGTGTGAGAGAAAAATTAGGTGCAGCACCCATTGGTGAGAAAGTTCTATAGAGTAGACTTAGGTGGTTAGAACACATACATCGGATGATGATGATTTTACCAAGATATATCAGATTCTATAGAGTAGACTTAGATGGTTAGCACACATACATTGTTCAACGATGATGATCATTTTACCATGATGATTTTATCGAACTTAGTATATCGATTGAATTCATTTTAATTAAGGGGGACATTAGTGCACCAATTTTGTAAATTGGAATATTCTCAACCTTTGAAGAAGTGGGCTTTGACCTTAACCATTCTATCCATCCATTAAAATACAATCCAGAAATTAAATAATTAGAATAAAATTAAAAGTCTGAGACCCTAATCAATAATCTCATTTCAAGCAATTTATGTTATAAAACGAGATCAGTATAATCTATTTAAGATTCTTATGCTATAAAATATTGTTTTAATATTAAAATCTCATGCTATCAGATTTTTTTTTTTTTTTTTTTTTTTAATTTTATTTTTTTATAAGTCAGGTAGTACTCGGACACACTACCACAAGCCCCCTTTTAGAACTTGAACTCCTCATACCATTCAATATTTTTTGCAATTAACCCTTGAAATTAAAATTCTCATGCTACAAGGAAAAAATTATATTATTTCTATTTATTTTTTTAATAGTCAGGTAATACTTGGACACACTGCCACAAGCTTTTAGAACTTGAACTCCTCGTACCATTCAAACTTTTTTTGCAATAAACCCTTGAACAAAATTTCAAGCCGATTAATCTCCCCATGCTATTTAAAAGTTACAAATAGTCCCATTGTCTCTATGCGTTAAACTTTAGATTCTGACTCTAAAGGGGTTATTTGTAACTTTCAAATAAATTAAGGAGTTAATACGACACGACATTTTTGTTTATGCAATGGCTTCATCCGATTAAGAATTTGACGATGCAATTTCGCATTACATTCCCATCCGTCTCTTTTGTATTGTCTACACCGCATAACTGACAAAGCAAGCAAAAAATTAACTAACAAAAACAAGGTCCATCTTCAATAAATGAACTGAAAAAAACAAAGCCCTTTTTTATCTTGTCAATCTCCTTTTGTCTCATTTTGAACCTTAAACCTGTTCACCGCTGAATCCCAAAAGGCCTTAAATTTGAAGGACAAACCCAACAAAAGGCGAAGCTAAGAGCAAGGTTAGTACCCACCTTGCACACCACGATTGACATCAAACCTACTATGTCTCCCACATTCTTGATAGGAACTAACTCATGCAAGTTCTAGAATAAGCAGAGCATCTGAAGATCAGTGAATTCCCCGTCTTGCAAACTAAATATGTCGAATAAAAAAGTACACCCATTGAACCATGGGGAAAATAATAAACCCACAATCATATAAGAAAAACATAACTACAGCTTTAATCTTGTAATTTTAAATCACCTAAGCCTGATAAAATCCAACATTTTGAGGATATTTTGTGTTATTGAATATCAGTTAATCATGAAAGAAGTGCCTTGAGGAAAGATGTACTAAAAGGTGTTGTTTGATAAAACTGAAAAATATGTCCTGAAAATTTTAAGAGCTGAATATTAAGTGCTGAAGTTTTTAAGTGGTAATTATTTATTATTATTTTTTTTGGATATTTTTTTTTTGAATTTCCAGCGTTTAGCATTCAATGATAAGTGATGTCCTTGTCACTTAAAATTTTACCCCATTTTAAGTTGTGCTTACTATTTTTAGTGATATTCAAATTGCATTATCAAACGCACTCAATTGGATAAGCGCTTAATCCGTTCAAAATTAAGCGTTGAATTGAGTAATCAAACAGCACCCAAAACATAAATGAAAACAATTTTTCATTATTTTATTTCTTCGTTATTTATTTATTGATTTATTTTCCATACACCATCACAAGATGGTTGGCGGCTTGGCATAACTCTTGCTCGTTTATCAAAAGATCAAAAACTGAATGCAAAACTAAGGGCCTCACAACCTAAAACTTCATACCCAAAGAAAACCCTAGTTCCAAATATCATGAAGACTTGATCTATTAATAAGAGCCCAAGGGAACTTAAAAAGTTATATTTATTGACTGAATGAGAATTGGCAAGTCATAGTTACTTGTTTACTAAGAGATGAAAAAACAAATGCAGAACCAAGAGGGGCATTTAAAGAACCTTATCTCAGAGAGAAACAAAGAGCCTCATAACCTTAAACTTCATATCCAAATAAATAAATAAAAAAAACTAATTCCAAATATCAATAAGACTTGGTTTAGAAATAAGTCTTGGCAATTCATAGAAACTAAAGAAGTTTGAATTACCCTATCATCATAAGCCAAGTTCGCTGAAGCATCCACGACCAGTACCCCAATACACAGATGCACACAAAATTTGACGTAAGCCAAATATGTCAAAAACCCAAGTATGTTATTCCCCCAAAAAATATCAACCACCTCAATCAAGGTATCCACCAGACTACCAATTGGGGATGAGAACGCCCCAACAATCACCCACTCTAGATATTAGAAATCTCATAGACCAGTATACTTATAGGTTTAATCATCTTCTGACAAAGTCTTTAAAGAAGATGTATCACAGATTACCACTTAATCATGGTATAAGTGCTTCAAGAAAAATTTAATAATCATAGAAGAAAATATACAGGAGTACTTGTTGACTTTTATTTTTCTGTCCCAATGTCTATCAACTCTTCATGCTAATCTAATCCAGTTGAACCCATGCTAGGGACAATATTTGTTTCCATACAAGAGCATTTATGATTAGACTGATAGATGTATGTTCCATAAAAGCTCCAATCATCAGATAAAGCCAAGAGCAGAAAGTACCTGATTAATCACAAATCCCTTCAACATATTAAGGAAGTCAGCTTTCCTTTCTCTGTCAAGCCTTTCAATCTCATTCCTGTTATTTTCCTGCAGTTAACATCAATCATTAAATCATATATTAGGTACATGGTGAAGGTAGTCAATAAATGTCATCCAGGAACATTTTTGCATCAACAACATAACATATACACGTGGACAGAACACCATGCAGTAATCTTACAAAAGTGGGTTAACAAGTTTCGGAGCACCTATATTAATTGCTAGGTAATGTGAGAATCTGTTTCGGAGCAGAAAGGAACATTTGATGCAAGCAGATGATTATAGGTGATCATTATTCATTTCTCTCTGCTCAATCTTCTCAAAGGAAACATTGGAGAATCTGTTGCTCATAGAACTCAAGTAGGTGGGATGATGAAGGGTAGAAATGCTTTAGGAGTGCTAACATCATTGAATACCTGTCAAGTGCAAGGAGGGGGAGGAGATTCATGAAGATGGCTTTGAGATGTGGAAATCTATGCCTTTGTTAGTTTGACTGAATAAACGTTAAGGAGCGAATCTCATTTTAAAACTCTCCAAGGACAGAAGCTGTAAGGCAAACCATCCCTTAAGAGACTGTGTTTTAGCAATTAATAAATAACTGTATGAAAAATGAAATCAGCTGAAATGGGAAGTTGTCGTGGAAAAGTTTGGATTTGGAAGGGTGAATGAGGGTATTAGAACCCATATTTAGCAACAATTGGGCAATAAAAGAGCAAAGTTGTCCAAGATGCTCAGTTATTTGCAACAAGAACAGATTCAAATTAAAGTAAATACACTCTGGAGGAATACGAAGAAAGCCAAACTGAGAGAAAAAAAAAAAAGAAAAAGAATACATAACTCAATTTGGTGAGGAAAGACATGATAACCTATAATTTAACTACAAGAATTACTTTACGAAGGGGTGACTGGCTGAAAAAATATTGTAACTGACTTTAATTGGTAGGGTCTGAGTTATTTTGTATCAGTTTATTAACTCTGGAGAGAAATTCTCGCTTGGAAATTCTGAATTTTCATTCACCAAGAAAGCAAGAGGGAAACAATCAAGTAAGGTCTTTTAGTACACTTGAGACATAAACAGGATTCCCAAGGTTGTTGGAAAGCAAATCATTAATTTCTACAGGTAGATGAACCTCAATTTCAGCTATTGACAAAGTTCAAGTGAAAAGAATTAGTACCTTGATCCGTTCAAATTCTCTAACCGCACAGTTTTTAGCATGCTCAGTTATCCTTATTGTGTCTTTCAACTCTTCGATCTTGCGAATCCTTGACTTATCACCACCAAATGTTTTGGACGACGCAGCTTCAAATTTTTCAGCTCTTGAATGCAAAGAAGATAATTCTGATAGAAGAGTTTGTACTGTCAATAAAGCACTTGAACGGTCTGTGAATGCGGTGTGAACGGCTAACATTAGCCCCATATATTCATGTAGCGTATCCTGAAATACATTTACAGCTGCTGTTACAATAGCAACTGAATCCTTCTTAGAGAAGGACCTTGACGGAAATACATAATGAATTAATACTTGAAGATTAATGGATGACTTAAATTTGTACAAGTTCTTAAAATGAACTTTGGTTTATCATACAACTGATGAGGTCTTTATTCATTCCATTTGAGAGTTTCTTTGCCAATTATCTAATATGAATTACTTATTCTAAGAACATTTATCCACGAGAAAAAAGTTCAAAATAGAAGTAAAATAAAAGGGTGCAGTTCATTACCAAATGCTTGACGGTTTGTGCATTTAATTCTCGATACAATCTGCTTGCTTTGACAGTAGTAGTTGCCACATTTTTCATGTCAGCAGCCCTTATTCTTTGACTGTTGAACATGGCCTCCTCATTCTCAAATTTTGTCAACTTAATAAATGCTAGTCCTAACTCTCCCATTGTTTCTCCCATATCTTGCTGAGCTTTGACAAGCGATTCCGCCTAATTGGGATAAAAATAAAGATTTAGTTTCCATGACAAAGATCCTAACAACCAATGCAATTTATCATTGTGTCTGGATGAGTATAATAGATGCATATAAAAATGAAAGTAACTACAACCTGCTGAGATGCATTGCTGAGTTGCTGTTCAAGATCATGCAGCTTCTCTTTCTTTTCTACAAACTCCTTATCCTCCTCCTCCACGGGCGGTCTCGAGCCTCCCCAATCATTAGCCACTGACTGCTTCAATTCCTTGAAAATTCTCAACAAATCCCTGCCTCCCTTGGCAGGCTGCACAACTTCCTGTGGCCCAACCAACTGATTTGGAAGCTTCGCGGCCCCATCAAGCATCCTCGATGCCACGTCAGTAGTTGTTGGCAACGGAAGCCTCCCCTGAACCTGTATAAACACCCTCAGCTCATCGCTCTTCTTGATCACCGGATGCGAAGCCAATCTCCGCAAGTACTTCTCCAATGCCACCCTTCTCTGCTCCACAAATTCTTGCTTCTGCATCACTTGACTCTCCACAACATTCTTATCCGGCCTCACCGGAATGAAAAACCCTCTGTAAGCCTCACTCAACCGATCAGCCAATGTCACAACATCCCTAAACCGTCTCCGAACACTGAACTCCGATCCGCCAAACTCCGGCAGGTTCGTTATCGTCGTGATCAAATACGTAGTATACGTGTTCCCCCCCGGAACGATCGAATTCGATTCCTCAAGCTCTTTTTGAGGATTCGACACCGTAATCTTCAAATACTCCGAACTCGACGACGGCGATCTCGACAAGACCGACGATTTCTCCGAATCTTTGCTAGGGCTATCGACGCTGCTGGATTCGACTCCGTTATCACCGCCGTCGAGCGGGCTAAAAACGACGTCGGCGTACGGCGGTGGTTCTATATATGAATAATTTTTAGTGGAATTAGGGTCTTTGAAATCTCTGTGCGGTGACGACCGTAGAGGATCGGTGTCGGCCGGGGTGGCGATGATCGACGGGGAGAGAGGGTGGTGAGTATCGGAGACGGAGAGTGTGGTCATGGCACTTCTGTAATTAGAGTAAGATTTGGTGGTCAAAGAATCGTCGAGGACGAGGCTCTCCATCTCTTCTCTTGATGCGTAGAGATGGGCTTCTTCGAAGCCCTCGTTCTCTGGACCCATCATCTTATTCACAAAAACAATAATCTTCGAGCTTTCTTGAAAAACCAGAACACGAGATTCATTTGAATTCGAAGAGAGACTGGTTTAGGTTTGTTTGATAAAATAGTGATAGGTTCACGTTGGTTGATTCATGTGGTTGTGTTGGAGATGCTATATTGCGCCGGGGTGAGCAGTGCCGCCGGAAGACGACGGAGTTGAAAGAGCAGGGGAATATAGCGATTAGGTGGCCCCTGTATTAGGATTTGGAGTTTCCGATTGGAAGTTCTGTTGGAAAAGATCACTGTCGCTTTTTTGAAAGAGAAATTCTACAGAGATATAGGATTGCTTTTTATATAGTAAATTTCTATTTCTGTTTCATGATAAAAATATTAAAATAACAAATATATACACATAAAAAATACGGAGTAAAATAAACCAATTACTATCCTTTCCTCAAAAAGTAGGGAGGGTTGGAATTGGGCGTGAACAAATTCTATTTCATATTTCTTACATAATATTTTTCTTAAATTAAATTGAGAAAATTATTCATGCAAAAAATTAATTTATGAAATCACATATTATTGATTATTAAGAATATTGAATGTGAAATCTAAATAGATTGTATAACTATATATCTTGGATTTTATTTATTTATTTATTTTTCGTTCAAAAGCACTTGCACAATATTAGTTTCATTAATTAAATATGTTTTTGGTGAAAAAAATGTTTATTCTTTATATTATTTTTCATTCAGGAATTTTGTATAACGGTGTAAAAATTCAAAAATAAGGTTATGTTTGTTTTGACTTAAAATATATATATTTTTTAAAGTTTTTTTTTTCAGTGTTTTGCAAAGGTGTAGGTTGAAGTTGAAGTTGAGGTAAAGTCCATCAGTAAGTCTTGTAAAATAACTTATTTATATTTTAGTACGACCAAACATTAAGAAATAAAGAAATATTTTCCATCAAAACAAACTGAGCTTAAAGCAATCACACTCTTAAAATATATTATATCTCTACCAATGTTAAAAATGCTGGACTATAGAAGAAATTTGCAAACAAATTGAGGAATGCATTAGGTGTAAACTCTTTGTTGTTTGGCACTTCGATTGTACAACTTCAAGGTTTGTCACTGGTGATTGGAGCCTTCTAAGCTCGATGATGGGTGCCAAACCTATTTGGCATTATTCAATGAAAATCCTTGGACGACTAAACATTATAATATAATAATAAACTTTTATGGGACATTTTTTCAAGCTATTTTAATTGGGCACCAACGACTGGTTGGGTTGGGGGGGCTTTTGTTTTGGGCTGCTGCTGCTCCTTTTGTACGTTTTTGTTTCTTATTAATACACATATTTACCAAAATATAAAAATAAAAAGACTTGACAACAAGCAAATTAAAAATTATTCAAAGTCAGTTGTTTTATTTTATTTCATTGTTAGGGGGTTAGTTATAGGTTGAACAGGCTCTTAGTTTTAGGAAAATAATTTAACCACTCAAGCAACATTACGCGTTGAAAGTGTGGTGTCGTCGATAGCATTCTTAATTTGTTAAAAAAAAAAAAAAAACATAACACGTTGAAAGTTGATTGATAGCACAATTTAAATATAGCTTGAAAAGGAATATAATTTTCTTATTAATGTATCATTTAATATTTATGAATTAGTAGAATATTTATCTATCAAATTTTAAAATGACATATCATAAGATCAAAATTAGTTCCATAAAAGGAGATAGAATGATCGACTGTCAACCTACTAACAACCAATGAACCGACCCAAAAGAGAATAGACACTTCAAATCTGGAAATGGTGAAAAAACCAAAACAAGTACAATCTTCAAAATAAGTTATTTTATTTTATTTTGGTAAAGTATAATCTTCAAAAGATTCCTCTGAAACCCCTTAACCATACACCTCTCCTGCTGTGTGTACTGAGAGTTAAAAACACGTGTATTTTACCCCGCGTAAATCTAAAGCTAGGCGAGTTAACAGTTAAAACTCAGGAAGTACAGCGCCACGCTCCCGTTATCACTGCAGCCAAACAGAGTATAGGTTACCCACATTTCAATTCACATCCTCTTTCAAGAAGGCCGACACACGCCCAAACTGAGAAAACCCGTTTCTCTTCCCTCTCTCCCCTCCACCGTTCTGTTGTTTATAAATCTCTCGCCCCCATTAGAGTTTCGCCGTTATAGAGAGAGAAAGAAGAGAGAGAGAGAGAGAATCAGATTTTCCCAGATATAGAGAGAGAAAGAGTGTATCTCTAATGGCGTCGAAGCTCGGCATGCCCGGTGGCATACTAGAGCGTCGTGTTCGTCCGATATGGGACGCCATCGATTCTGGTCAGTTCAAGAATGCTCTCAGGCTATCTGCAACTTTGGTCACCAAACACCCTAACTCCCCATACGCTCTCGTAAGTCTCTTATAGTTTATACTTTGTAACACTTGTGCATACCTATGCTTGAGTATCTATTTGGTGAATTAACTATCGTTTTGATATCCAGCGACATTCTTGGTCAAGAGTTTCTAGTTCTTTATTCATACATATTATATATACAAATCAGTTAGAGATGAAATTACACATATGATGAAAATAGTTTTTTAATATCCAGCGACATTCTTCATCAAGATTTTCTAATTCTTTACTGATACATATTTTCTTTCCAAATCAGCTTGACAGATGAAATTACACCTGTGGTGAAAATACCTTTACATATCGAGCGACATTCTTGATCAAGATTTTTTAGTTGTTTATTCAAACATTTTTTCTTTCCAAATCAGATTGACAGATGAAAATACACATATGATGAAAATAAAATCGGTTTGATAAATGAAGTATCGTTTTGATACGTTCTTGATGTGTTTCCAGTTATTTATTCATACATATTTTCTTTCCAAATCAGTTTGACAGACGAAATTACACGTATGATGAAAATACCTTTTTGATATCCAGCGACATTCTTGATCAAGATTTTCTAATTCTTTATTCACTCTCATACACACACACACACACACACACTTATATATATATATATATATTTCCAATTCAGCTTGACAGATGAAAGTACACATATGATGAAAATAAAATCAGTTTGATAAATCAAGTATCATTTTGATATTCAGCGACATTCCTGACGAAGATTTTATAGTTCTTATTCATGCATATTTTACACATATGATGAAAATACCTTTTTGATATCCAGCGACAGTATTGATCAAGATTTTCTAGTTCTTTATTGATTCATATCTTCTTTCAAATTCAGTTTGACAGATGAAAGTACACATATGATGAAGATATTTAGTTCTTTATTTTTTAAGATACAGATTCTCTAATTCTTTTTTTTTGGGGTACAATTTAAAGCATTAAAGCGGCCACCAATTAAGCACATACTGCCTATTTTCGGCCGATGTGGTAGCTGCGATTATATATGCACGTATACAGTATTTGTACATATATAAGCATATACATTTTTTTTCTTTCTATTTTTTGTCTTTATGAATGTTAGTTTGTGGCTTGGTGCTTTTGTGCATAGAGTTTTCAAATTCGGTCATACATATATATATATATATATATATATATATATATATATTTGGATTTTTAATACATTGAATTTATTCTTTTACATTCCTTCCAAATAATGGCTTTTATTCTGTTTATTCTTCTTATTCCTTATTTTTTTCAGCCTTTCCGAGGTTTCAAGTTATGACTGTTAGACATTACTGGTTGGCGATTTCAGAATCTTTGTCTATATAGAGAATTTGAAAATGGCTGACAATGACCACCCAAATAGCACTGGTTCTGTTTTCTTTTTTGTTGCTGTATATATTTGTTGGTGGACTAGGTTTCCAAACTCTGGTAGTTTGTCTCAGGAAAATAGAAACCAGGTCACATTTGGCAAAGCCAAGAATAGGATATATATGTATGTATTCATGCATGTATTCATAAAGCTATTTTCTAAGGTGAAAACTAAATTTGAGGTTTATATACCTTCATATTCTTAAAGTTACTGTCAAAGATTTCCAAATGCAGGCACTAAAGACTCTCATTTTGGAAATAATGGGTAAATACGGCGAGCCACTGTCTGTTTGTGTAAATGCTGAAGAGCTATTGTACACCAACGTTTTTCATTTGCTCATCTTTGAGTGTCTCATTGGTGAATGATATATGACTATTTATGTTGAAATGGTAACAAAATCAACACCATCTGTGCTACACTTTAAGCTAGGTTTTCTTTTTCTTTTCTTTTAAATATCACGCAGGCAATAAAGGCTCTCATTTTGGAAAGAATGGAGAAAAATGATGAGGCACTGTCTGTTTGTGTAAATGCTAAAAAACTATTGTATACCGACGGCTCCATAATTGATGATATCACTCTCAGTACCTTGCAGATTGTTTTGCAACGACTTGATCATTGTGAGTACATGTTTCACTGCTTGATCTCATTTCATATGTGTAAGATTTACTGACAAGTTATGTCCGATGATTGTTTTATGTCATCAGTGGATATGGCCACTGGTTGTTATGAATATGTCTGTGGGAAGTTTCCAAACAATCTGGAATTAATGATTGGCCTTTTCAACTGCTATGTTCGTGAGTACTCGTTTGTTAAGCAGCAACAGGTTGATGGTATTCGATAATCATTAATTTTTGTTTTTTTTTTGTTTTATTTTATGGCTTCTGTAGATATATAGATTGAGCAAGAATTAGCCTAAAAAGTTGTTTGTTTTGGCTATTGTTTACTGGCAGATAGCTATTAAAATGTACAAGATTTCTTGTGAAGAAAGGTTTTTGCTCTGGGCAGTTTGTAGCATTCAGTTACAGGTTCCATCTTTCTTCTCATGTTCCTCCTTTCAATTTTATATATTTCTTAGCATTTCCTTTATATGGTCTGTTCACTTTTTCTTTGGGGACTGATTATCTCTAGCAAAGGCTTGTAAAATCATATAATATGAACTATAATTTGTGAAGTTTAAAAAATCGAAGCAGGGAACAATCAAGGTACATATGGGTATTTTGTAAAAATAAAAATGCTTCTTCTGATATTATATGAACTATAATTTGTGAAGTTTTCCTGCAGTTGTAGTTCAAAGGGCACTGGCCATGGGGTTCTATCATAAAACTTCTTGGCCCAGCCTGAAGACCCACAACAGAAAAGACATATTGAATAACTTATGCAACAATTTTTACTTGTTAGAGAAGTAAAAGAACTAATCTAATGTAATTTGAAAACATGTTCATAAAAAGGGTTAAGTGCACAAAACACCCCTCTAGTCTAGCTTTTGTGCACGATGACTCCCTACTTTTTAATAGTGCCCTTTTAACATTCGGAAAATGTCCCTCTTGCAATTGTTGTATTAATTTCCAAATTTTAACCTCTCTCAAAAAAAGCCCTCAACCTCTCTCTCTCTCTTAGTTTAGACACTTTAATGATGGAACACAATGAATATCTGAAGTTTGTTGGATCGGACATTGTCCCAGCCGAGTGCTACCAAATCTCTCACATGGAGAATTTTTTGGTTCACCCTATAAAACAATGAGATTGAGGTTAAAGTCATTTGGGTTAAATATGATACCTAATTACCTATGCAAAATAATTATTTATTTATTTATTATTATTTATTATTTGCTATTGAAGATGGTGATGGAATAACTTGAAAAATTACCATGATATATTAGTAATACTTTAAATCATTAGTGGGTTTGATACTAATTTATGTAACTTGGAAATTTCTATGGTCAATCAAAATTGATTCTTGAAATATACTATGATATATTAGTGGTTTGATACTTCAAATAATTAGAGGTACTCAAGGCGAATCCATAGTAATGAAGATGAAAAGTATCACATAATTTTAAATGATGAAAATTGATCATACTAATTAAATTCCATGTTAAATTACTTTTTAATTGGGATTTTATAGTGAGGAAAAAAAAAGGAAGGCAGGGCAATCTCATTAATAGAATGAATAGGATGGCCCGGCATTATTGCCCTATCACATTTAGAGAGTATATTAAACATCAAATTATTAGATACCCTATTTATTTTTAATTACGAGGAATGGGGCAATTAATAGGAATGATTAATAATTAAAGAATTTATCTAGTTGGGTCAGTGATGCAAATCGGGGAGAGAGAGAGAGAGAGAGCGTAGTGCCTACATGTGACAATGTCCAGTTTTGTCATTTCCCATTTGCATTTATAAATAAATAAATAATATATCAGATAAATTTCTGCCAGGGTATTTAAGTCTTTGCATGAGGTTAATGTGTCAGGAGGTCCTGATTTGAACACTTTAGAAATTTGAACGGGGTTTAGGGAACACCTTGGGGGGGAGGGGGGGGGGGTATGGTTATATTATACGCACTATGTGGATTGTAGATGGCTGTTTTCTGCACTTTACCCTCATAACAAAGTATTTTATGCAAACAGTTGGTGATTTGTTCAAAATTCTGTGGTGTTAAAAGCTTTAGATTTGATCTAGTTGATAGTTGCAACAATTAAACTGTCCAATCTGGTCAAAACTCAAAACTACTTTACCGAAAAAATTAATCTTTCCAATCTAATTTAAGTTTTTTAACCTCTTTATGTGGCAGGGGATATCAAATAGTTGTTATTATTGGGTTATTAGATGTTTGGGAAAGGTGCAAGATCTACATGACATTGGTTGGACGTGTGTCTGACATTCATAATTTCATATACATTATTTATAGCTCTTATCAAATATATATATATATATATATACACACACATTATTTATAGCTTATCTTAATTAATTGGAGTCTGTATAGCAATGTTGTTTTGACTTCTGAGGAATTAGAAAATTACATGTTCTTTCATTCTTGTAGTAAATTGTTTGTTTTTAACTTAAAATTCCAAGTGAATTTTAGGCCATTTATGGTATGAAAAGAAAAGTGAAAAGGGCTCGGTTAATGTTCTAGCATTATTCAGCTACAAATTATCAAAGAGCAAAGAAAATGAGAGAAAGATAAAGGAAAGCGATATTGTTCTGGTTCTGTTTAGGTTGATCTATTTGTTTAGGAAACAAGTTATTGAATAATTGGTGCACAATATATAATTATATATATATTTTTTGTTGGGGGCGCGCCCTGGGGGGGGGGGGGGGGGGGGGGGGGGAGTGTTTTGTGTGCGTGTGACCTTTGCTGTAAGCACGCTGTAATTGGCAATGTACTTCTCTCTCCTGTATGTTCTTTTCTTGTTAAAAAAAAAAAGATGTATTTTTAGCCAAACTTGCTTTCTGTATATTTATGTTATAAATATGAAATTAACTTCTCTTTTTTCGGTTTGATTTCATTCTGGATCTAGGGTTTCCCTTCGTTGAGGATTTCCATGGCTAGGGTTTCGTTTCTGGTTAGTGAATGGTTGTTTAGACTTTAGACATTTTATGACGTTTGGAAGTATTGTATGTGGTTGGACCCAAATGCACGTTTTGATTGCCAACACTTTATTCAAACCGAATCCCATAGCATTTAAGCCGGAACCAAAAGTGTTTTGGCACTCAATTTTACTATTTTTCCTTGACTCTATATCCTAGGATCTTTAATCCAATCTTGCCAAATCTTATCCAGCAAACAGAAGTTGCGATACTGTTCTTCTTCAAAAATAAATTGAATTTTTAATTTTTGTATCTATATCTTTTTGTGGCTACGCTTTATACATGGATTTTAATCTTTTTATTTGGGGTAAGAAAGATTTTCTCAGCTGCCTCTCTTTTGTGGATTCTGTGCCTTTTTGGTATAGGTTTTTAGTGGCAATGGGGGAGAGAAGCTATTGCTTTTAGCCGAAGGTTTACTTAATAAGCACATTGGTTCTCATAGCCTGCATGAGCCAGAAGGTGCACTTTGTCTTTTCTTCCCCGTTCATAATAATTAATGAGGCAGAGATATTGTGTCTCATCTTTTGCATTTGATCCATATGCTGAAATATTGCGATCTTCTGCAGCTCTCATCGTCTACATTTCTGTACTTGAACAGCAATCTAAGTATGGGGATGCTCTGGAAATTCTTTCCGGAAAATTGGGATCACTAATAATGATTGAAGTTGATAAGCTACGGATACAGGTATTTTCTGAAGCTTTCTTTTCTCATCTTTTTGCCTCTCTTCCCGGTACTGAACATGGACGTAAAAGAAAAGGAAAAACAAAAACAAAAGAGATTCACTTATCAAATATATATATATATATATATATATATATATATATATATATATATATATATATATCAAAAAGAGATTCAGTTCTCACACGCTTTTGCGATTGCATTATATTTTAGAAACTTGACCTTGTTTCTATTCTTATAAACTCGTACTCTTTAACTTCAAGTTGACAGGGGAGGCTTCTCGCTCGGGTAGGTGATTATGTTGCTGCTGCAGATGTATTCCAGAAAGTTCTAGAATTATGGTATGCTTGTGGAAATGGGAACCTGATCAAAGTTTTAAAGTTATTTGTTTATTTATTTATTGAATGCTTTATTTCATCATACTTGCCTTTGTCCAATGGGGTAGGCCACATGAATTCTCTTCTTCGATTATTTTCTATACAGGCCGTCTCGTCTATAATACTTAACTTTTTAAAATTAATTTTAATTTTTACTTCCCTCTTTGTCTCTTACCCTCAATATTAATTAGTCTTCCTTATCTTATTGGTGTGTCAATAGATCTTCGTTATATATGTCCATACCACCTGACTCTGCTTTCTCTCATTTTTATTAACACTAGGTGCCACTCTTAATTTTTCCCTTAGTAACTCTTATCTCTTTTAGTCACTCTTACCATCCATCTCGACATCATCATATTAGTTACATGAATTCATTGTTCTTGTTTCTTTTTTAAAGCCCAACACTCTGCCCCATATAAAATATTTGGTCTAATAACTGTGTATAAAATTTCCCTTTTAGCTTATTTAAAATTGGCCCATTACTTAATGTTTTATTTGATATTATTATTAAATCTTCCTTTGTTGCTTTCTAGCTTTGAAATCTTAACTAAAAAGAATTTTCTCCTGTAACTTCAATTTGATGGGTTTGCATTCCGTTGATTGGTTTAATAGTTTCAGTGGCATATTCAAGGTTATGTTGCATCAACAATACCTTAGAACTTGAGAAAAAATTGTGGAGAATGTTGCTTAGAAAATATATTCAGACTTGCAGGATGTGATCTCTAGAATAACCAACAATGCATCTGGGTTTTGGTGGAGATGGGATTGATTATGTTAGAAAAATGAAGGCAGATGCTGATCATACTGTCATTTAAGAATATTGCTAGGAACTTGGGATTGCATAAATTATTATCTCTTTTTTGATAATGGGCTGTTGCATAGTTCAACAGTTTAACGCTTGAACATTAGTGTTAGTGGTGCGAGTTCGAGCCTCAGAGCATCCACTTTGTGAAATATCAAATGTTAGGTCTGTTTTGACTTTTGAGTTCTCCCTGTCCCTGCTGTAGCTGTACCAGGGTTAGGTAATATTCTTTTTCATTATTGCTTTTGACAAGTACAACATATATCCGTGTCCCAAACAGGACTTGAACCCTGCTCCTCCACGTCGTTGGTGGGTGGAGATACCACCTAAAGCTGCGGAATTTATATCTTTCTTGTTATGTACTCTTCCTTTTCCATATAAAATTATATTCTTGTTCTTCTAAGCTCTGTTTGGTTAGATAGAACTAGGAAGAAAAGAAAAGAAATGGAAAATGAAAAGAAAAGTGAAGTGAATGAAAAGAACATTTATTTTCTAGCATGCATTTGGTTAATTTATTCAAGAAAATTGTATTGAATAGCATAAAAGTTACTAAAAATATTTGTACTTACCTAAATTGTGCTTGTGCTATATTGTCCTTATTTTATAAAAATAGTAAAATAATAAAATAAATAGTAGAATAATAAAGAATTAATTATTAGTAATATATATCTAAAAAAAATGACATAGTTTTCAATTAATTGACACCTTATAAATTACTAGTTATAGAAGTCAAGTTAATTCAAACTCGACCACCAATAAAGTTATTGTTGGTTTGTGATTCTTTGAAACCCAGTAAAAAAATAAAAAAATAAAATAAATTATTGGTGGCTTACAATTGTAGATATAGTTGTTGGATAAAATAGGAATGCAAAATAGAAAGACGTTGCTTTCACGAGAAAATTTTATTTTTGCGTGTTTTGGGGAAAATAACGGGTTTCGAGAATTCAAATTTTCCAAAACGTTTCATTTTCATTCTATCCAAACTCTAAAAAAGTTATAAAATTTTCACTTTCCTTTATTTTCTAGTTGATTCTACCTAACCAAACAGAGCCCTAGTGATAGAAAAGAAGAAAGTTTTATTTGACATCATAACCATTTAGAAGAACATTTACAACTCCATCATCATAGGATAATATATTAGAGAGCTCGTTTTGTTTCTTAAAAATAATTTCCATTATAACTGTAAGAAAATTCAGTTTTGGTTGCATTATTTGTTGTGTTTATTTGATCCTAGGGTAGTGTACAAATTATCTTTGTTTATAAAACTTGTGTTTCTCTTTTCGTGGTATAGTGCTCATATTTTTCTCAATCATATTGGGATGCTAAAATGAGGACCAGATTGAGCCTCAACTACAAGTGCCCAACTTTACTTTGGCTTCATTAATTACAAGCCTCTTGTATGATTTGATAAATGATCAGCTGGTCTTTTCTTATCCATGCTTTGATAAATTGAAATATTCCTACCTATTCAGTTGGATTGATTGCTTTTAACTGCAAATATCATGTGGTGGATTGTTTCCCTCCCTCCTGCACCCTTTAATATTTTTGTTGTTGTGCTTTTAGCCTTTTTGTTGCACACTTGAACTAGTCACTCTTTGCTTTAATGGACCAATTCCTTGTAAGCAGCCTCCACAGGTTGGTCCTAAATGGTATAATAAGTTGACTTTTCTATGTTATCCTTCCTTGGGGAGTACATTGAGCTGATATCCCCACGGCAACCAGTTTTCTTCGTATTCTTCTACCAAATACTGTGTGGTTGCTTGTTCTGATTTTATTAGCGTTCTTGATTGCTCCTCCAATCAGTTCTTTTTGATACAATATGTGGTATTCTTGCACGATCTGAACTGTTTATTTTGTTTCTTTCATCTGTCAGCCCTGATGATTGGGAGTGTTTCATACATTACCTAGGCTGTTTGCTGGAGGATGATAGTTGCTGGTGCAAGGATGGCAGCAGTGATCCAATTCACGCACCCGGATCCGTGAATTGCAAAGTCTTGCACTTAACACATGATGTGGTGCTTTTTACAACTCTTGAATTGTGACTACGACTATTACGAGTGGGGATCTGTTAATTTTATCAGTGCAGCTTCTTATTTGTGTGACATTGTTGTGCAGTTTGATTCACGTATATCAAGTGCATCAGCTTTTGTACGTGAATTACTGGAAGAAGCCAATAGCAATTCTATAAGATGCCCATACTTGGCAAATCTTGAAATTGAAAGGAGGAAACTCTTATACCGAAAGGGGGAAGAGGAAAAGTTAATAGAGGCTCTTATGGAATATTTCATCAGGTATTTACAACTATAGCGCCTTTGTATGTAAACTTTCCAGTGAATGATCAGTGACAGACTGACAGTAATCCTTGGGTTCCTCATTTTGATTTTTCACAATTTTATTTGTATAATTTTTTCTCTGTACCAGTTCCAGGTTGCTTATTTGCTGCGTAGTTAAGTAATTTCAATCTATTAATGCAACCTTCCGTAATCTTGAACTTTCCCTTTGATGGCCATAGTAGCGCTTTGGAAAGAGAATTGTCCCCTTGATGCATATAATAATTCTTTGTAGTTGTTAGTTGTGAATGAGTCTACTTTAGCTTCTACAACATTGGGGGAGTTCTTTCATCTTGCTCCTGGTGCTTCTCCTCCTTTACATTTGTTAGATTGATCACGTTGATGCATAGTTTGCACTCTACCCCAATTATCTGCTATTATGACCTTCATTTTGATGTTTTAATCTTTCAGTCCTATAGATTTATCTACAATAATCTTGTGGATTATGCTGTGAATACTTCTTGATTCCTTATTTGATATTATGCTCGATATGCAAATTGATGCAGCATAATTCTATCGTTCAGAACTACTTATAAAAAAAAAAATTTCTATCGTTCAGAACTTTTGTTAACACAGTTTTGGTCACTTGGCTTTCTTCTCTTCTGATGTCGAGATGTTCCTTCATGTTTTGACTCGTGAGAAAAAGAAATGGTTTTTTTAGAAAATTGGAAATCATGAACCTCTTAGCACAGAGCCAATTATCTGCTATTCTGACCTTCATTGTAATGTTTTAATCTCTGTCCTATAGATTTATCCATAATAGTCTTGTGGATCATGGTGTGAAGACTTCTTGATTCCTTATTTGATATTATGCTCAATATGCAAATTGATGCAGCATGATTCTATCATTCAGAACTTTTGTTAACACAGGTTTGGTCACTTGGCTTGCTTCTCTTCTGATGTCGAGATGTTCCTTCATGATTTGACTCATGAGAAAAAGAAATGGTTTTTGAAGAAAATTGGAGAGATTGAACCCCATAGCTCAGAGCCAACACAAATACTTGGGCAGTTCATAACCGTCCTTAAAATTCAAGAACTGGTCGGCAACATGTTCACTATCCCTGCTGATGGTACAAATCCTGCCTTTTCACTTTATTGTTTGCATATTTTTCTTTTATGTTGTCAGGGATATTGCTGTCATACCCTTGATTTGCTGACACCACCTTTCATTGAGAGCTACAGTTAGTTTTTGAAAGTTCTATTACAATTTTTTGGAAGTTATTATTTTTGGATCATTTGGGTGGTGTTGGATTACATAATATTTTTAATATCAAATTTTATTGCTGACCAATATGTGTTCCTGCCTCAAATTTGCTCTGTTTTTTAACCAACCACATCATTTTCACTCTGATCACATTTGCCTTTCTCCACATGTGCTTCATTTAGTCACTCCACCAAATATTTAAGCCATTTCCCCAGTAATCAAAGTTGTGGCATGATTTCTAGCCCTCTGCTTACCTTTTTACTTTTTTTTGGGTATGGTAATTTATTTCTATAACTTCTTTTTGACACTAATCTGTTTCACAAAGGCAACACTGTTTTCACAACAACAACATTGTCATTGAGTTATTATATATTTGACTCATAGAATATTGTTATTTCAGAACTTGAAGGCTTTGCTATACTAGTGGCGAAGATGTACTGTAAGAACCTTCCTCTTTCCAAGGACTTGGATGTACAAGAGAGTATGCATGGTGAAGAGCTTCTCTCTATGGCCTGCAATGTGCTGGTCCAGGTATCTCATGTTTTGTTTGTAAATTCATATTTGTTTTTCAAGTTATTACTAGTTGCTTCTTTTCTTTTAATAATTAATGTATTTATGGGGCGTTGTTCGTTGTGGTGGTTACGGCTCGTGCTGACAAACTTGAGAATACTGTTTTGAATCTTTGAGCAATGCTTTATGCAAATAATGTCAAAACTTGCCTCTATCTATGTTAGGTTGTCAATTTAACCTTCTGTGGCATAGCCCTGCCCACGTCTAATGGGATGATTTCGGGTGACTAGGTAGGGGTGGATTTGGAGAGTGTCTCAAAAAACGTAATCTGGCATTAGTTATATATAAATTTGTTCTATTATAAGCCAGTATGCTTTTCTTTTCATTGTTTCTCATTATCATTTAAAATTTTAACTGTGAATTTCTATAATTAGATTTTTCTACGATTACATTTTCTAAAGTTTGATTTTCCCCCGAAAAAGAAGTATGTGGGGGTGACCTGAACCCGGGTCAACTCTAATGTGGGACGGGGTGGATTTGTGAATCAATCTTCCTTTGCGGGGTGGGTTTAGGATAGGGTGACCCACCTGGAACCCGTTCTGTTCACATCCCTAATCTTAGTCCATCCCTCCTTAACACCTCATATTGGCAAGACCAACATCTGGTCATTATCTTTTCTTTCTATTGTTTTAGTGGAATGCTCTGCTAATAGAATAATGTGGGGAAAGGCACAACGATAAGCATACAGACATAGTTTAATTGTTACATAAAAGACTTAGAAACATCAGAGTTCTATTCGCACATTTTGTCTAAAAAAAAAAAAAACCAGTAAACTTTCTGAAGAGAATGCTGCCCTATTCATTATGCAGCATCTTTCTACCGACTCCCTTAACAATCTGCATAGAGAATGCCCAGTTGCAGAGAATAAATTGATTTGGATTTTCCATCTCTTGTGATTCCAACTATCAGTCCATATATCTGTAGTCCTTTCTGCCCAAAGGCCTAATATGAGAGCAAGGTAGAAATGTTTCATGCTATATGTCCACAGTTGGAAAACGAAAGAGTGAAAATCTGCTGATAGCAAATAAGTGACCATATCCTCCGTGTGAAAATATTATTCATGAATAGATGACAATGCACTCCAGAAGCCATACATGTAATAGCAATTCATTTCCTCAGAGTAGGTTCATCAACAAGAGAATTCTTTTTACTTAACCAAAAAAAAAAGGAGAAGAGAATTCTATCCAGATCCGGAATTCTCCTGTAGTGATAACAGAAGGTAGAATATCACGCAAAGATATTGTGCTGAACATAACTTTCACGTTTGCTGTCTTTTCTCTTTGATGGAGTGTCAGACAAGCAAAGTGAAGTTTAGATCCATTGAGTGTAATTGTGGTTTTGGAACAACTTAAAGTTTTTTTTAAGTGTTCAAGGAACTATGTGACAACAATTTGAAATCGATTTTCTCTTAATAGGAATTGTGATTTTGCTTGTTATTTATCCGTTGCTATCTATTCTTTTGGTTGGGAACTTGGGACTTCTTTTATGGGGGTGCTCAACTAATTTCACTAAATGAGGTTTGATGCACCACTTATTAACAACTGGTGAAGAAAGAAATTCTCTCTTCCCTAATTTGATCCTTCATGTTTTAGGAGATATATGGTACATAACATGGTTGATTACATTCTAATAACTTGTTCCATATATCTTTGCTATTAGTCGACATTTCCGGTTCTAGTTTCCTTAAGTTGACGACTAGCACATGTACACCCCCCCTCCCATAAAACACATTAAAAAAATTTAGATCATTCCAGTCCAGTTTTAACCCTGCAAGTTGTAATATTCATGTGCATTTAGATCAGTCCAGTCCGGTTTTGACCTTGCAAGTTGTTTGCTATGCAGTTCTATTTTGGGTCTTACATCATATAATTGCAAACTTGACACACTGTAGTTTTTAAAGAAATTCTTTTTGTATTTAGCATTTGATACTTATCAGTATTATCATATGTTTAAAGTTTGCTTGCACATGCTATGTGTGTCCCAATTTCTTTTATTTGCACTGTTATTTATCTAGTTTTATGTTTTGGATTATATAAATTGAGTCATCAGATTTCTTTACTTAGATATGTCTGATGACATTATGTTCTTATGTTTGAGTGTTATGCTTATACCTTTTAAGTTTGCTTTCTGCTTGTAGTTATTCTGGCGTACTAGGCATCTCGGTTATTTGCTGGAGTCAATACTGGTTCTGGAGTTTGGTTTGACCATCCGAAGGTCGGAAATTATTGTTTATGTTTTTGCTTCTTATTTACTTCATTATCATTCATTTAGTTATTTAACTGTTCTCATACTTAAACATAACCATGCTATATAACCATGCCATAAATATAATATATATTTTGAACGGGAGAGAAGTGGTTTGGAGAAAATATGTAGATTTATTTAACTGTACTTGTTCGCTAGCAATGTCAAACGAATTTTTTTTCTATGAGAGAGAAATGGTCTGTGGAAACATATCCTTTTTGTTATTTTTTTCTTTCTCTTTTTATTTATTATTATTTTTTGAAATGTATTGCAACGTAGAAAGGGCACTATGCACATTGAAAAGACTCACTATGCCAAACTCAAGTGATGATTTTTAAAATTTTGGGAACAATTGCACTTTTAAAAGACTGTCACTATGCATTAGATCTGTATTTGTTTTGGGGTTTTTTTTTTTTTTGGGGGGGGGGGGGGGGGGATAATTCATAATATGTAGAACTGGCAAAAAACAGATCCAGAAAATAATAGAAAAAGTACATATTCTGATGCATAATATTCCATAACAAGAAAGTAGTTTGAAGCTGAAAGGAGGAGTTAGCTTTGGGTTTGGAAGGCTGTTGAGTCCTATGTATTGCATATGACTTGAGTTGTATGGCAAGGCTTACTATTGTATCATTGCACATTGATATAACTGAGTTGACTGAAGTGAATCATGAACCACATATAATTCATGCTTTATCCGTAATGTGCCACGTATTGTAGAGGCCCCCTTTGGTTCCAGTCTGACTTGGCCAAGTCTACTTGATCAACTGATTCTTCAACCGATAAGATTGCGATGACTGGTTAGTGGGAAGATATAAATCTATTTCCTACCCCTAGTCTACAGGTATGTCTGGGCATGGTGGACCATGCAAATGCTTTTTGAACAAATGCAGTATCCTGATTCCATTTATATTCTAATGCTATGTTTGGTTGGAGGGAAGGATTGAGGGGGGATGGATGAGAGGAGGGATGGAAAAATATTTTCGAGTTTGGTTGGAGGGAAGGGAAGAGAGGGAGGAAACAAGGAGGGATGCTTCATACCTCCTTCCTTTATGTTTTTCTATCCGCCCACTTTTGGGGGGAAGAGAGGAGAGAAAGAAAGCATAACTACCTATAAGTTTGTAATTTACAATTTTAACCTTTTCAAAATTTTTGAAATAAATATCTACCTTTTATAATTTTATATAAAAGGGTGTATTGGTAAAAATAATATAAGACTCTCATTCCCTTCCTTCCAACCAAACAAGAAAAAGTATCACTCCATTCATCCTTTCTACTATCCATTCCATTCAACCAAACATAAAATGGGAAAGACACCCTCCCTTCCATAGGGATATCTCATCCATCCCTCCCCCTATCTCTTCCATCTATTTTTCCATCCCTCCAACCAAACAAAGCATAAATATTGGTCTCATACCTTCTTTTGACAGTACTAAGGCAACTTGTTGATGGTCAAGAAAAGTATAGTGGTGAATTGGTCATCACTCTAGTGTCTTCTGTTAGCTGTGCATTGCATATAGATTGGAGGGTCACATAAATAATTGATATTGGCACAATTGCTGTTCCGACAAAGGTATGAGGTGTCTGACATGGCAGCACCCTGAAATCTAGACATGTTATGTTTGTGAATATGTTATATCAAGTATCTACTAAAAAAAAAAAAAGGGTATGTTTTATCAAGTATACAATTCATGTACCACTGGGCCATTAGCCCAGATGGTATAACATCTCCTCCTTCGAAGAGGAGGTGAGGGGTTCGACTGTTCAAGCCCCATAGTGGGCATTTGTGAATATGTGTGCGAGTATTTGCCCAACCAAAAAAAGGAAAAAAAGAATGTATTCATTTTGTTTGAGTCTGTGGATTACCTTAGATGATGACATAGGGAAGAAAGTACTAATTTTAATATAGGTTCCTTAATGGGAAGGGATTATTCACTCGTGCTTGCATATTTTGAAAGTAAATTAGGGAGTACTCTTTTTCAAATGTTCAAACCTTAATCACATAATCTGTGCAAAGGGTGGGTTGTCCCAAGCTCTGCTTGCGGATCTTTGCTTTGAGAGCGAATTTGTTCCAAATTCATGGATTCAGTTTGCATATTTCGTGGATTGACCTTTCAAGTCCGTGGATTCCTCACATTTTGGGTTAATGCACACATGGGCTGCTGTGCACGTCATTTCAAGCAGCAGCACCATGTGCAAGGCTGTGTGCTGCTGCTTGAAATGAATATAATATATAAGAATGCGGCCTACAAAGATAACTACATGGGGGTTGAACCGACCACCGTTGATGGAGTGTATGTCACTAGCCATTGAGGTGCTTGTGTTTTTGACAGGTCTAAAACAAATAAATTTATCTATTTATCTATATAACTGGTTATTAATTAAATTAACAACTAATAATAAATACGTTCGTAAATATTTTAGCTGACACTTTGGAATAAAAATTGAATAAAATATGATGCTGTTAACTAATAAATTAATGTTACCATGTATAACAAGTTAGCAACATACAGACCCTTAAAAGTATATAATTACATTTATATACGACATATAGTCTTATAGATACTCCAAAAACGATTCTGCTCTGAAAAATTTTAGGCTTTGATGCTCTTACACTCTCGCTTCTGATGTGTGTCTAGAAGATCATCCGAAACTGTGGATTATTGGTGCTGGGTCAACATTTGTCTAACAATCAGATGTGATTGGGAGAAATGTCCTACTTATCGTAGATAAGCATTGTTTATGTTGTTCCGTGCCATATGAGGATTAGTTATAGCTAATTATTTGGTGGCATTCTGTCTTTTCCTTAGTAAGGTGGCTTCTTCATGCAGGATTTTTTTTTGTATGAAAATGTTTTAATTGAATGTTAGCTCATTTAGCTGATCCCTGTTTTTTTACTCTCATTTTCTATTTCATTGGCACCCCCACTTTGTTTGAAATGCTGGTTGTCAACATCTGATCTGTAAATGATTGTAAGTTATACATGTCCTTCATTTCATAATCAAGTGCTCGGGTAATTTCACAATCTCATTACAAAGACTTTGAATATTCATTCGAGATTAAACAAATGAAGCTTAGATAAAAAGTAAAAGCCCAGTGGTAGTCCTGCATAGGTGAGTTACTTGGATTGGTAGGCTTGATACCTATGTTTCGGCATTATTTTTGTACAAAGTGCCTTCTCTCGGATATGAAACTGCTTTTCATACTTGCTGCCCATGCTCTTACCATTTTACCAAGCTATGGCTTTTCATATATATATAATCTTTTTGGTGATGTGTGGTTAGAGTATTATATTGGTATATTTCTGTCGAAGTTGTATATGTTGTTGTAATTGGTCTAATGTTACAAATAAAATGGTGGGGATGGTGCATAAATAATCTAAATTTCACATAGTGGTTTTATTCATTTATTGTTAACTAAGTTAAAAGGTTACCCACTTTTTGGTATATAACATGTGTCTGTATGGTCATGTTTGGCAGATATGTATGGCAGTACAAGATCTTGTTGTTGCATTTATATTCGTACTGGGGCGCCCTTTCATTAGCATATGAACGGTAAAGTTGATCTGTTTAGTGACAATTAAATTTCTAGTTGATGGAAACATTTCACTAATCTATTATTCCTATAATAGCATTTATGTTTTAGCAGTCATTATATATTACCATTTTCTTCTGTGTAAGTATAAAAGCGACTCTTCTTTGTAGATATAAATCTTTGGAGGTGAAGAATATCTTGCTGGAGACTGTTTCACACCACATGTTACCCCAGATGTTTGTATCTCCACTTTGGATCGATTTAAATGATTTTTTAAAGGATTATCTAAAATTCATGGACGGCCACTTAAGAGAATCTGCGGATCTTACATTTCTTGCATATCGCCATCGAAATTACTCAAAAGTACGTAAGATATTACTACGATTGTTTTTGGTCTAAACACTTTGATGGCAACTTTATATAATGGATAACTGCTTCATTTTCTTAGAGTTGGAAATACTTGAAGTAATATGCTTGTTGTTTATCGATTTTTTCTGTTCTTCAATTTGTTTATGGGATTCTCCATTTTCTCTTTTTCTCTCTCTATATATACACGTTTCTTGGAATTGTGCTCTTTGTGTGCATACGTATTTTTTGGCACTTATTTATTAGTCGACACCACATGCACACACGCGCGTATACAACATTCCATTGCTTAACACAATAATAGCGTATGAAGAAAGAAAATGCTTATAGTAAGAAGGTTGCTGTGAAGTTTTACAAAAAAAGCATCAATAAATTTTCTTTAAGAAAGATTTGATTTACTAACATAGAATGCAATCTCCTGTGAGCCCATTCACCCTTCACATGCTTCACCCATTTTCTGAATAAATATGATTTACTTGATAAAAAATCTAACTTTATTGGGACTTGAGGAGAATACGAAGTTTGTTCTTCTTTTGGTTTGGTTGTAAGTGCGACCATTGCCCAAATCATTATAATTTATGCTCCCTTCTTTGCCTTTAAAAAAAAAAAAAAAAAAAAAAAAATAGAAATATCTAGTGAAAGATGGTAATATGTCCTAGGGTCAATAGATTAAGCTTTTTTGATGACATGACTGACAACTCAGTTGTCGTGTTGGCGTTACTGGTCTATAGGACAAATGTATTGAACGATCCCAAACCATCAGCAGGAAGTTGTCTCAATGCATACCAAATGGCTACTCAACCTAGTTGACTCCATATCGTGGCTGCTAAAACTCAATTGGGATGACCTTGTCTTGCTTATGCGACATTCATAATTCAATAAATGTGGTTGGATTTACTTTAAGAAAGATTTGATTTACTAACATAGAATGCAATCTCCTGTGAGCCCATTCACCCTTCACATGCTTCACCCATTTTCTGAATAAATATGATTTACTTGATAAAAAATCTAACCTTATTGGGACTTGAGGAGAATACGAAGTTTGTTCTTCTTTTGGTTTGGTTGTAAGTGCGACCATTGCCCAAATCATTATAATTTATGCTCCCTTCTTTGCCTTTAAAAAAAAAAAAAAAAAAAAAAAAAAAATATAAATATCTAGTGAAAGATGATAATATGTCCTAGGGTCAATAGAGTAAGCTTTTTTGATGACATGACTGACAACTCAGTTGTCGTGTTGGCGTTACTGGTCTATAGGACAAATGTATTGAACGATCCCAAACCATCAGCAGGAAGTTGTCTCAATGCATACCAAATGGCTACTCAACCTAGTTGACTCCATATCGTGGCTGCTAAAACTCAATTGGGATGACCTTGTCTTGCTTATGCGACATTCATAATTCAATAAATGTGGTTGGATCTTCTCAGTATACTTGTCCTACAAAGTCAAGTCTTTTATCCCTTGAGTCTATATACACTGTCTATGTACTCCTACCATCAAATACCAAATACTTGTGGGTTTCTTGGCTGATACATAGGTTTCTTTAGGGAAAGATAGTAGATATGATTTTCACTTGTTTTCAAATTATTTATGTGATTGTATTTATATTTCAAATATGTTCAGAAAAATTTCAGGAACCAAATTCTATGAAAATTTATTATTCATTTGTTTTGCAATCAGGTAGTATAATAATAGTTATGCGGTGCTTGTGCTCATTAGTTAGATTATTGTTACAAGTAATACATGGTGTAGATTATTTTTATAAGTAATACATGGTGTAGATTATTTTTATAAGTAATACATGGTGTATATTGTTTGATGAATCAATTTTGTTCTTATTTGATTTCCCAAGTTCTTCGTTATCTTTTAGAAAATTTTGAGTCTTATACTTAATTTTAGCCCATCTTTATTTATTTCCAGATACTGATCTGTTATTCCTCGAACAAATCACGTAGGGTTCACCCAAGTTAGTAACTGATACAACGGCTTTGAACCATGCTCTTTGCACACACTATAGAAGATATCGCATAGCACCCTTTTGTCATGAAAGCGCAAACCCTAATGGGGTCATTAACCTCTTTTTCTTCCCTCTCTTTTTTGGGTAGAAACTAATGTCATTTTCACCTTTAAGGATTTTTGAATTCCCAACCTCAACCAATGTTTAGAAGCACCTTTTCCAGAGTTGTGGAGCTCAACGTGGCAATAGGGAGGAGTCACCCTCACGGAAAAATCATTGAAGTGGCTGAAGACAAATTGACATCTAATGGCTCAATAACAGTGATGAATATTTTGACGCCTTCGTGGTGGGAGTCCTTAATGATGCTTCAACTTTCACCTGTTTCTAAATGGAGTCGAGTTTATAAACTTCTGCCCTTCATCTACTCCCCTCTTTCTCTCCCTTGTTTCCTCTCTTATGTTCCGTTTCTTTCACTTGTAGAGTTTTTATCACTACTGCTGGATATGCACAAATAATTGAATGCTTCTTTGATCTCCTCCAAAAGCTCGCCCGCCTGCAAGGATTATTTTAAGCATTGACCTTGATGGTGACTGCTAAATCTTAGGCATTGCTGTGCCACATGCTTTGTGTGATTTTGTTTGATATAAACGTTTCAATGGTTGTCACAATGGAGAAATGCACAATTCTTTGATGGATTTAGGTGCAGAGTGGAATTGTACTTTTAGATCTTGGATGTTTTACCGAACCTTAAGTTCTAATACATGTCCGGATGGAAATAAATCAAAGACAAAAACTGAAAGATAGGGGTTGATGGTAACTAAGGGTAACGCAAAAGAAGGGTTGCTCTTCCTACCAGAGGTCTTCATTGAAGTTCATGTTACCCACCTTCGCTCGCTTTTTGTTTCAATCATTTTTAAGGAGAAGAAAAATTGTGTTACTTTTAGAGATGGGATATTGGCTACAGATAGGGGTGGCTATTGGGCGGGTTGGGTTTGGGCCGGGTCAAAGTGGACTGGTCAAATATGGGTTGTAACCCATATTCAACCCGTTTATTATGTGTCAAATATGGGTTGGGTCAACCCACAATGACACGGTGGCCCGTTTCTTTTCTTTCTTTCTTTCTTTTATTTTATTTTATTATTATTATTTTTTTTCTTTAGAAAGGGAAAAAATAATTCTTACTATTTTATAATCTAATTCTAATTTTTTTTACTAAAAGAATTCATTTTAATTGCTATTGAAATGTGTTAATTGCTATTTACATGTGTTGATCAGTTTGATAAAACCTGCCAAGTCCATATATATTTACAATTTTTACTTAAGAATTGTTTATATTTTATACCATTTTATGATATGTCAAGAGTCTGAGTTGGTGCTGGTAAACCCGTTTATTTGACCGATCCGTTTGTATAACCCGGCCCATTAATACGACCAACCTGTTTACACAACCTGGTCCATTATACATTTAAAACAATTCTGTTCGAAAAAACCCTTCAATCATTTATAAAGATCTGATCATTCCCAAATCACAGTAAAATATTATAGCAAATAAATATTTTTCAATCTTTAGATCTGATGAATTTAAGTTAGCATGGATTCGGCCCATCTACAAGACCAGACCCACTAACATGACCCATCCCATTCGAATCACTAAATAATTATACTTTAAAAAAACCCTAGATTCCCAAATTAAAAAAATTTAGGTTCAGATCATGATCTGCTTTTGTAGAGAGGATATATATATATATATATATATTTTTGATACCTCAGGTTGCAGAACAACGTGTACAAGGAAAAATATACAGAGGTGATATATATATATATAGAGAGAGAGAGAGACAAACATGTGGCTGGTTGTGTGCTTAGAAACATCAAACAAAGTATAAGTATAGCCATGGTGTTAAGCTTCTTGGAAGAGAGGGGGGGGGGGGGGGGGGGCGGATCGAACCTTCCAAGAGAGAAAAAGAGGAACAGATCGAACCTTCCAAGAGAGAGAAAGACTGATTGGGTGTTTGAAGGGGGAGAGGCTCAGAATGCAGGGAGAGAGAGAATGTATATAATGCGTCGTCTGGGTTGAATATTGGCCCCTTTTATAAAAGTAAAATGTGGGCGGGTTGACGGGTTAGTAACCATTTTGCCACCCCTAGCTACAGATACGGGATAGGGAATGCATTTTCTGCAACTGATACTATCAGATTCAAAAAAAGGCTAAATGCCTCCACTAGGTTTTCAGAACCTAGTGGAGGCATTATTTTGTTGCAGATCACCCTTGTGTCGAAAACCCACTTCCCCTCCTCAAAGAGAGGGAGTTCTGTGATAGTAGCTGCTTGGGAAGGATTATGGTCTGCTTCTTTAAGATTGGCCCTCTCGGGAGCATTGTCCCTTTCACAATGGAATTTTCTATTTTTTCGGAGTTGCTTGTGCCCCCACTATACAGGATGACTTTTTCATTTTGAAAAAAAATCTCTGAATTGAAAAAGGAAGCAAAGGAAATGGGAGATGGTAAGAGCTTTACCTCACGTAAGATGAAAGTTGTGGTGAATATTATACTAATTGGTCCAAAATCATGGAAGAGCCTTTCTTTTTTCCTTCTTCGGTGTAAGCTTTGTCAAGCTTGTATGGTTTATGTAAATAAAGAGAATGCCCTTCATTTATGTATTTTTTTTTCCCTATTTGAAACTCACATGCCCACTTTGTCCTATGGAGACTTGAACTGTCTATCCCCTTCATTTATGTGTTCTTTCATCTTACTGCTCAAAATAATTAAAATATATGTTTTTCACATTAATAAAGCCACTATAAAATGAACTGGGACGAGTTTGAAACCATGGTACATCTCATATACATCATTTCAGGCGATTGAGTTTGTTCAATTCAAAGAACGATTGCAGCGCTCAAGTCAATATTTGATCGCAAAGATTGAAGCACCCATTCTACAGCTAAAGCAGAATGCAGATAGCATCAAAGAAGAAGAAGTATTTTTCTTTCTCTACTCTAGTTTTAGCTGCCTCTGCTGTTTATGTAATTTAGTTTATATTTTTAAGAAAATATAACATTTATTCATTTCTTTTAGCGTGTTCTTGAAAGCTTAAAATGTGGAATGGACTTTGTTGAACTCTCAAATGAGATTCGAAGCAATTCTCTGACCTTCAATGAAGATTTGCAGCTACGACCTTGGTGGACACCAACTTACGATAAAAATTATCTTTTAGGTCAGTATGACAATTGTAGTTGTGACCATAAATCTTTTATTTGAAGAACTGTTGGGTAGCAGAAATTTGTGTTAGGCTAATAACTTTTTAGAGTGTACTGGGAAAGTATTTGATGTGCCTGATAAAAGTGTTTATTCATTGAATTTTGGTGTCTGAAGGACCAATGAAAGAATTTAAGGTCCTTTCTTTCATTTATTTATATATTTTTTGTACTTCTGAAAATGAAAATGAAGTTAGTTTTGGGAACTTGTTTCTGACTATTTATTTGTCTAATGGACTTGGGTGTTAGAAAAGGTGAAAACATCTGTTTAGTATTTTACTGAAGATGGATCGTTTTCCGGAATTTTTTTCAAAAATAGTTTTCAATGCTCTACCAAACACATTTTTGGTATACCTTTCTTTTGTATTATTTCCAAAGAACAGAAAAGTCGTCAACAACGCTACCAAACTTGCCTTAATTTTTTGCTTACTTTCTAAAGAAAGTCTGTATATTCTGTAATATGGATATCTTGTGGTTTAGATTTTCTTATAATTTTTTTCTTTAATTATTTGTAAGCTTATTTGTGTTTCATTTATACAATGTAGCTATTGTTGAGACTAAATTGGCAGTTGTTGACCTTTTTACAGGACCTTTTGAAGGAGTATCCTACTGTCCTAGGGAAAATTCGGTATGGAAAAGCAACCCTTATGATTTTGTCCTTCGATTTTAAGAGGTTATCTTGATATATTTGTCTAATTGTTCTTTAAAGGAATATTACTTTCTTTAAAGATCACTCATCAAGCTTGTATTTGGGCTTTTTCAAGAGAGTAGCATTTCGGTACAATTAGTTGCAATCAAATTAGAAGATGGTAAAGGTTATATTTTGACTTAACTTTTGGCTGCGAGAGTCTTCTTTTGGTCCTTCAAGTTGACAGGAGTCAATTCTAGGACTATGCATGCTCATATAGAGCTCGAGTTCTGTTTAGTTAAAGCTCATTTAAGCTTGCTTCTAGCTAAGACGGCTTGTGCACTTTCTGACTGCTCTTAGAATCTTGTGTATCAAATTAGTTTGAGGAAGTGCTGCTATTTTTACTGTGCTTAGTCTGGCCAAGCAGTTCCAGTGTGTGATCTTTTCTTTATCATTTTCTCTGCATTTACTCAAACGATGTCTTGCAGAACTGATTGTGATTTCTGTATTATTGACATTTTCTTAGGATATTTATACGTACTGCTGCATTATCTGCCAAAACCTAAAAATTTACTATGACTTATCTGGATTTATTGAACAATGGAGCTTATCTAGATTCATTTGACCAATGATCAATACTTACATATTGGAACCTTACAACTGCCAGCCTTTGATATTGGGGTTACACAGACTTCTCTTTCTGTTATTGTTGCTTGACCTTGATATGTTGGTCATATTCTCTCTTTGAAATAATTTTTTCTTGTTTCTATATGACTGTTGTATATGTATTATTTTGTTTTTCTGTTGCCACCTTAATAGCTAAAGGAAATATATCACTGCATTTTCATTCGTCATCTGTCTTGGCAGCAACATCATATTAAACAAATGGAAGCGAATGTACCAAAAGCCATTGAGCGAAGATCTCTACTTCCTCGATTGATCTATCTGTCTATTCAGTGTGCTTCATCATCACTCAAGGAAAAAATTGAAGCCAATGGTTCTATATTTGACCCCAAGGTTACCTTAGAGCTGAAGATTTTACTTGAGCGTTATGCAAAGATGTTGGGATATCCTTTTCAAGATGCAATAGAATTGGTTTTTGGGGTTTCAAGTGGCCAGGATTCTTCAGAGGTATGGTTTCATGCAGTGCGACTCTATGCTTGTCTTGCTACTTTTTTTATAATTATATATTTACTCTTATTTTTGCTAACCCCTTGTGGATGTACATATAGAACCATAGAAACTCTCCCCCCCCTTCTATTTTCCTTTGTTGAACCATGCTACATGGACTCGGGTACATATATTGGGTGGGTGTATGATTTTATGCATTGGATGTGTCAAATACCCAAATAAAAAGACACATGGGAACTGCTAAATGTTCATATTTTTTATTTTTTATTTTATTTTTTAGAGTAAAATAATGTCTTCATGTAACATATTGTTCAATATAGATTTTACTCGTTTTGAAGCAATAATAAAATAAATTTGAATTATTGTTCATTTTTTTAGCCGTATCTCCAACCAAAAGTGTCGGACACATATCCCGGACACCTGTTTGAGCAATGTGTGTTGGACATGGTTACTTCACCTACTTTTGTAGAGTTCATGTATTTTGTGTAATCTACTCTTGTCTTCGAAAAAAAAAAAAAACTAACTTCGTACAATTTAAAACTTCATGACATTATCGTTCACTTTTTACAAGTTAAACTTCCTTGACCTCAATCCTCATAAAATTTGAACATATGTGGAGAGGGAACATATGTCAATCCTCATTTTCACTTGGGTTTGGAAGAAGAAAATTTGGATAAATCAAAATTTATCTGTCACACTGTACTTGGATATTGGGGCTAGTTGTATTTGGTACCTTGGTGTACAGCCGCATCTGAGTGAACACAGACCTGTATTTGTTTTTGTCTTTAGACATGAACAAAATAATACCTGAGGTTGTTACAAAAGAATCAGCAAATTGTGAAGGATGTTGGTAAAAAATTTCTTTATACAATGTTCTGTAAAAGAAAAAGTGTAAATTGTTTTGTTTCTAGAGTTGCTTCATCTGAAAAAACATTTCCAAATTGGGACAGGTTTTGAATTCGGAACTGATCGACTGGATGAATTTTGCTGTGTTTTATAATGCATGGAACCTGACTTCTCGTGAGCCACCTGATAGTGATAATGCATATAGGCCTGGTACCTGGCACGTTGTGAATTATTTGCTAGAGAAATATATCATTGAGAAGGTCAGATCCATAGGACTGTTGGTTTCTTCTCCTGGCAGTGATCTTCCTATTCTGGTGCAACTGGTTACAGAATCATTGGCTTGGCATGTTCTCATAATCCAGTCTTGTCTCCGGCCGTCTGTTCCACCAGGAAAGAAGAAGAAAAAAGGTGGATCTGTGGAACGGTCAAACACTGAACTGTATAATGAAATTTCGGAGTCGATCCAGACTCAATGTAGTATACTGGAAGAGGTTACAAAGTGGTTGAGAGAACAAATCAACAGGCCAGTGGATGGAGATTTGGAGATGTTGCTTTCCACTATCAAGGGAAATGAAGGGCCTGGTAAGGTTTTCCAAGTTTTAATATCTAACTTTTCAACCACGAAGGAAATGGAAGAAGTTGGTGATCGGATTTACCAAGCAGTGAATTCTTTTAATTCTGATGATATTGTGAGGAAGATTGTAACTGGGCAGCATACGGTACTGTCTGAATTTCTCAAGATTTGCGATTCAAAGATTAAATCATTGCAAGCTTTGAAACTGCCTGTACAGCGTTAGGTTTCAAAGATACAATTGGTGGCAACACAGTTTTGCACATTTGATTTGTTCTGATGCTGCACCTTAGGGATATGTGAAATCCGGACCAAGTGTTTTTTGCTACCGAATCCACTAAAAGCAATCTGAGAGGGAACACCGTGTTCTGTTCTTAATCTCCTTTTGGAGAAATTCTTGTTAGGTTGGTTAGAGCAATGGTGTTTGTGCTGCACTTGCCATTCTGTTAACTCTTCCTGTAGAATCAGTCTCGTCTGTTCAGAAGTGTACACTAAACAAACTTGACAGAATGCCTTTGTTGAGCATGTAACTTCAATTCTTTGAGATTTTTTTGTTTTGTTTTGGATGTATAATTCATTTTACTGGCACTCTGCTCTTATAAATGTGTTTGAATATATGTTGGTCAACACTTTTTTGAGGATGTTGACAATAAGATTAGGTTTTGTAATGTTGATGTCTTGAATGGTGTTGGCAGCCTAGTTGTGCGCCGGTTACACGGTTGGAATTAGTTACTGCACTTACTCCTGCCCGGAGATGGAGGTGGAGAGGATTCTCATAGTTGAAAGGGTTTTCTGAGTTTCGATAGAAAATGGTTGGGGGAGACGGACATTTCTTAGAGATGCTTATTTTTGCTTCTTAGCTTGTGATATGATAAATAATAATAATAATAATATATTATGTGCATAAAGAGTGATTTTTGAATTGAGTGAGCAATTTTCAAAGCTTCTCTTTTACAAGTCAAATAAAAATTGCCAGTTTTGGATAATGATTGTTCGTTTTCCGTCCATGAATAGAAGGGTTGTTACATATCAGTCTCTTTTTGCGGTTGGGGGTGGTGGTGAATATTAACAAAGCTGATTGGGAGATGTCAATAATAATTTAAATTTGTAAATGTGATTCTTGAGCAATTCTTTGATAGAAAATGGTACAAGTGGATTTGTTTCACCATAACCACCACTACACTTGTTTTTCTTTGATTATGGTGGACAAAAATCACGTATTATTCTGCCGTTATTTATTATTATTATTATTTTTATTAAACTCATATATTGGGCAATGGAACTAACCAAACTCTGAGCAGGCTCCTCCAAGAGCACGTGCGAGCAAGTGCTGAGTGTTCAAAAAATTATTTAACGTTGTTGTTTGGGCATTGCATTGTCGATTCAAATACACTAGTCTAGAGAGTACCGGCCTACCAGGCAGGCCAAGCGCGCACTAGAGAGGAGATCCGTCCTCAACTTTCACCGGTGAGGAAGTGCGATTAGGCAATATAGCTTTGATGGTAAAAGTTTTTAATAATTTGAAATTCAAGGGGGCCTAAAATGATGTACTACTTCCGTCCCTTTTTAATTGTTTACCTCGTATACTATGACTCACAAATATCAGCAATCGGATAAAAAATAATATTAATTAAAAATAAAAAGGTCAAACATGTTACGAATATGTATCATAACTATGGAATTTAAAATTAAAATTTTAAAATCCCTTCAATCTCAATCACTTTACTAATATAGTTAGTTTATCTTAGCTGTCAAAAAAAAAAAAAAAAAAAATGAAATTATCCTATTGCAAATATTTGTTATGGGCACAAATTCATATTGGAACATATTGTTTTCTCTAAAAATGTTTTTTGCGTTCTCCTGGTGGGTTACTTAACACATTATAATTAATCAAATTCCAAAATTAGTATAAGGTCATAAGCTTTGAGAATATTTTTAGCTACAAAGAAAGTTTTGGGAGCAAACTAATCAAACCTTCCCCTTTTTAAGTAATACAACTACCGTACCAATTAGTGCCTTGATTGAAGCTAATCCCTTAACGCGACTACTTGTTATGAACTTCATCTACTTACTATTAGTACGTTTGCATTACTTTTATCATATTTTATAAAATAATAATAGAGAGTCCAAAGTTCATCATATTTACTTCATCTTTGTTGATCAAGCGAAACTAAGGATTTGCATTCTCGCCTTACCACTCGGATTAGTGAAACGTCTTTTTTTATTTATTTTTATTATTATACTTGCATCTTGAGGGAACCTTTTTTTAATCCCCTTACTAAAAAAATTCTTCATTTTTTTTAATTGGATTTGATTCACCAATTGTATAGTATTTCAAAACACACAATGCCTAAAACCCCCTCCTATTGAAAAAGAAAATGTGAATTTTTCAGTCCAAAAAATAAAAATTCGTGACAAATTTGAACCATTAACTATTGATTGCAAATTCATGAAAGATTCTTGAATTCGGATATATCCTATTAATTTTGTGTGAATAAGGGTTGATGTCATCATGACATTATGGATATTAATGACATCGTCAGTCCTCACTCATATAAATCAGCGAATTTCTCCAACATTCAAAGTCCAAATCATTATCCTATTTTATATTAAATTAAAGCATCAAATTTATCACTTCTTTCACAAATCCGAGGGTGTAGGGATCCGACTAAATATTCACATTTTTCAATCTTCTATTTATTTTACAGTGTTTAATATGGAAAAAATAACGTAGTAAGATTGTTTTTTTAAGTATAGCTATTTCTATACACTAGTTAGGTAAATACCTCTCACACTAGAGTTGTGAGTTTTGAAATTGATAGCTTAATATTGTGCTGGCTTTATTTGATTGTTACCTAAACCAACGATTTGACCATCAAACATGTACAAAATTCAAAGAAGTAGATTCAAATAAAATGAACCCCCAATCATATACTTTCGGTAATTTCATGGCACAAACATTAGTTGAACCCCCTCTTGGATTTGTTTATCTGTTTTATATATATGTTGTAGATGCCATCAACATTTTTGGAGTCCCTTTCACACATAAACCAACAGAAAAGCAAGTCAACTAAAGCAAGAGATAAAACACACCTTCTCTCAACCCCACCAAACTCTAACCACAAACTCAACAGCCTCACTTTTAGTCCAAATCATTCCCCCTTTATTTCAAAGGTTTCAGTAAACTATTAGATTCTGTCCTTGACTGTTTACTGATATATTAGGAAATGATAGTTCCAAGTGTCAGGTTTTTAGATGTTGACATGGGATTGGTGTGGACTGTTTGGCTAACGAACTACACTGTTCACTATTTAATTAGCACTACAAATACATTATTATAGTGACTGTACAGTTAAATAAGCAAATATTAAGACAATGTTTTTATGAAACCTTCATAATAAGAGACAAAATATATATATATATATAATCTTTATTGACTTCTCTTACTGTGTGCTGTTTCAAGTTTCAACACTAAAGCATGGATGATGCAATAATACCCCCACTCCACTAATGTTACGTACGAATTCAACATTTGATATTGTTAAATACAGTTTATTGCACTAACCACTCAGATTTCAAATTTTATATAGTGCATCTGTTAAAGGGCCTCCATCTAAGTCACGTGGAGTTTCCGCAAATTTTAAGTCATTAAGAATTTAAGAGTGAAAGTGAAAACGCATGCAAACTTAACGAGCGGAACTCGTTTAGAAAATTTGTGTGCCTTAAGTTACTATCAGGCTGATTAATATCATAAATGTTATTTATAGATGATCTCAATTAGGTAACAAGATAATATGTACTTTTAGGGGTGAATTTCTGTCTAAACAATTTCTCAAAACTTTAATGAAGATTGTGCAGTAAACATCATAAAATATTTAGAGAAGGGAGACACAGTGCCATATACACAAGAAGTCATCCAAAATTATGCATCACAATGTGAGGTTGGACCCTGAGTTCATCATTTTACATATTTAAGCAATAACATATTTTGAGATTTCAATGTGCAAGTGTCTGTGTGAGGGTTGATATCCTCTGGAATGTGATTATCCTAAACTCTTATGAATTCCATTTTTATGAATATAATAGTTTTTTAAATGCTAAAACACTTTAAAGCAGCAACAAAAACAACAATCATGAGCACCAATTGCCAAGCAAATATATATGATCCCTATGAAGAATTGAAGATACATGGTGCTTTGAGACAATTAACCCCTTCATTTGTTAAAGTGGTTGCATTATTTGCATATCTAGTGGGTGCACCAAATCCTCATTATAGTTCGACTTAGTTACCTAAGATTTAAACTCTGCTGTTTCTCTAGCTTTCTCTATAATTTTTTTATTCACTCTTCAGTCAAGTATAAATAACTGCTCCTTCATACATTTCAACTCACACATTACCACTTAAAAACTTCATTAACAAAGACACAGAAGAAGAGATATGGAGGCTCATAACGTTTTTGTCAAGCCGTTATGCAAGGGCCTCCTCCTCTGTCTTCTGGTTACATTTGCTTTCATGGTTTTGATCGCAAATGCAGAAACTCACTACCATGATTTTGTTGTACGTTGTCTTCTTTTTCTTTCTTCTTCTTTTTCTTCGTAGTGATCTCAAGTTGGTTGTTAACGACAAATTTTTACTGAAACAGGTTCAGGCAACACCAGTGAAGAGGCTGTGCAGAACCCATAGCACAATTACTGTTAATGGGCAATTTCCAGGGCCAACTTTGGCTGTCCGAGATGGAGACACTCTTGTTATCAGAGTTAGAAATGCTGCTCGTTACAACGTCACCCTCCACTGGTAATTATAGAATTAATACCAACTGCATGTATTCTGCTGCCATACTTGTATACGGAGTACAATTTAGAGTGTGTGCATCTGTGCTCGTGCATGCAATGAGTTCTCTATCCATGACTAGCCTGGAGCTTAGCTTCTACTGAGTACATACATTCAGTCCTGGGTATGAACTCAAGAAGGCACTGACACCTGAAATGCACCAACCTGCTGCTAACACACTTTTTACTACATTCTTGCATGCATTGCATGTTTTTAACTTCTCTAGCGGCTGTTAATTTGATTTTACTGTTGCTATCCACCAGGCATGGAATTCGTCAAATGCGAACGCCATGGGCAGATGGTCCTGCATACGTGACCCAGTGTCCAATCCAACCTGGAGGGACCTACACATATCGGTTCACAATTGAAAATCAGGAGGGAACGTTATGGTGGCATGCTCATAGCAGATGGCTTAGAGCTACTGTTTATGGAGCACTCATCATCTACCCTAAATTGGGTTCTTCATATCCCTTCCCAAAACCCACGCACGAAATCCCTGTTCTTCTAGGTAATGACGAACAATTTTTTCTCACTTTCTACAGCTTATCCCCAAGTCAAACATATGTTGCTCTTAGTAATCTTCAGTAACTAATGTGACAATTACGATGATGAACAGGTGAATGGTGGGACAGGGACCCCATTGATGTTCTACGACAGGCAACTTTCACAGGGGCAGGTCCAAACGTGTCTGATGCATACACCATTAATGGTCAACCTGGGGACCTATACAGATGCTCTAGCAAGGGTTTGCCACTGTTCTCCAACACTCTTTACTATGATTAGTAACAATCACAATTGTTCTATAACTTCAAATGAAATTGAGGTTAAATGACAATTGCCATGGAACAAAGGACACAACTTCTGTTTCATCAAATAGTAATAACATCAGATGTGCTTTATGACTCGAAATCTATAATGCAGGTACTGTGAAATTCCCAGTGAACTCTGGTGAAACAGTTCTCCTCAGAATAATCAACGCTGCACTCAATCAACAACTCTTCTTCACAATAGCCAATCACAAGCTCACTGTTGTTGCTGCGGATGCTCTCTACGACAAGCCTTTCCCAACCTCAGTCCTCATGCTTGGACCTGGTCAGACAACTGATGTCCTCCTCACCGCCGATCAGACCCCAGGACGCTACTATATGGCGGCACTTGCCTATGCCACTGGCCAAAATGTACCATTTGACAATACCACCACCACAGCAATCCTTGAATACAAATCTGCTCCTCGCAGTGCCAAATCCTCAAAACCGATCTTACCACGTTTACCAGCCAACAATGACACAGCCACTGTAACTGCATTCACCAGTCAACTTAGAAGTCCTTCCAAGGTCAATGTCCCTATTAAGATTGACGAGAACCTATTTTTCACAGTGGGGCTCGGGTTTCTCAACTGCAATCCTGGACCCCGATGTCAGGGGCCGAATAATACACGCTTTGCTGCCAGCATGAACAATGTCTCCTTTGTGCTCCCAACCAGGACTTCCATACTTCAAGCCTACTATCAAAATATACCTGGCATCTTCACCACTAATTTCCCACCTGTTCCTCCAGTGAAATTTGATTACACAGGCAACGTGAGCCGCGCACTGTGGCGACCAGTTTTCTCAACCAAGCTTTACAAGCTCAAGTTTGGTTCCACAGTACAGATTGTGTTACAAGATACGGCTATCTTCTCGACAGAGGACCACCCAATTCATCTACACGGATACCATTTCTATGTTGTTGGACAAGGTTTTGGTAACTTCAACCCCAAAACAGATACTGCAAAATTTAATCTCATTGATCCACCACAGAGGAATACTATTGATGTACCTGTTGGTGGATGGGCAGTCATCCGATTTGTGGCTGATAATCCAGGTAATGAGATAATAATCTATAGTTAGCTCCTACATGTTCTACAATTAAACAAGATTCACTAACCATATATTCTAAAATAATTTATTTTGCCTTAAACAGGAGTTTGGCTGATGCACTGTCACATAGATTCTCATCTCACCTGGGGTTTGGCCATGTCATTCCTGGTTGAGAATGGGGTTGGAGAATTACAGTCCATAGAGCCTCCTCCACCAGATCTCCCTCGATGTTAAGATCATCAGTAGAGCACATCAGTTGCTACAAGAGGAGATGGAGTTTTCACTAGTCCTCAATTTAATGTCACGTCTGTATGCATTTGGTGTCCTGTTTTTCTGTTTCATTTACTTTCTAGTAGAAAGTTCAGCACTTAGCTTTGATTGATTAAGCAGAACTCGAAGGCTTGAGTTTAATTGCTTATTTTTCCAAGCCAAGAAAGAGTAGGTTTTCAACTTCATAATTGGTCCAATCTATTTATTTCCAGCATTATGTAAGTCAGCCAATAAGGAAAAAGAAAAGGTGTGAGATTTTCCTCTTGTTCCTATTCATTTTCTTCCTTCTTTCTTCCTTTTATACTGAAATTAGTGAGGAGCAAAGACCAAAAGCTCGGAGACAAATATGAAGGGCCACTGAAACTCAAAACTATGAGAAAAAGTTTAAAAGCTTAGAAGAAGAGGACTCTACTAAAGATTAATGATGAACTCAAAGCAAAAGGGATCTAACAAGGACATTTTAATCTTGAAATGAATCACTGAAATAGATGTATATAGATCAGCCAAGTCAAGCAAGTACTATGTAAATTCAAACTTTCCATGAAAGTCGGGCTTAGCTAGTCATTCACTCAACTCTCCCTCTACAACCTTGGTTCAGGTGGTATTGACTAAAGCTCAAGAAGTTTCATTAAACCCAAAACTCACTTTGTTCAGAAACCTAGACCAATATTCATATTTGAGTCAATTTTTTGACATTTTGTACATTTCCATTATTAGATGCTCCAAAAGCTCGCTCATCACACCTCCTACTACATGCTAGAAGAACTCGCCTGACTCCCACATAATTCCTTTAAGTTTCATAGCACATTTAACATCTTTCAAGTTCTTTTCTTTGATAAGTTTCACAAGCGATTATGTTGGAATAGCTACAAGGAACCTACATTTTCTATTACGAGCCTGATATAGTTGAGCCTGGTATTCATCATGGTTGGCTTGCTAATTGGAGATAAAAATCAACCATGAATTTGCTTCATGTAAGCTTATGTAAAAGGTCAAATGGACTATGTTCAAGCTCCAATTCTGAGCAGGCCAGTTTAGCATTACTAGTTAGGAACATCACCATTTACTAGAAGCTTCATTCGCTTTGGTGCAAAATATACTAAAGATATATGATACCTAAAAGGATCTTCTACATAGCCAGGCACGCACCTTTTGCAAGCACCATATGGCATGGGTAGGAGATGCGGATTCCTGAAAACAAGAGGAAGATTAAGGAGATATTTCCAGCATGACTTGAGTTGAATCTGCCTGATTTTTTTATCCTCATTTACACACATGCGCGCACACACAGAGGTGTAGATGGCCAGAACCATGATTTACACGGAAGCTAGAATATGAAAAATAGTAAGTCTCCATAATATATAAAATTAACAGCTCTGATATAATACAAGTACATTCCAAGGTATAATAAATTTACAAATTTGGGATGGCCCAAACCTGTCACCAATCAAGCCACAAATTTCAGACAGCGAGTATCATTGTGTATATTCTGGCAACGGATTGCACAGAAACGCACTCCACACCTTACACATGTATAGTTTGCAGTGAAACCACAAACAGTGCAGAAATGACGGCGAGAAGTGAAGCTTGGAGGCCCCACTGCTGCTCTCAGATAGGAGGGCATGTGAGGCGGCAAGGATTCCAGGTTTGCCTGTTTTCATAAGAGGAAAGATAAATTCAATCTGTTCATCTAACTTTGAAAAGAACTAGAAGCCAGAAAGAGAAAAGCAGCATTTTCATTCTTACCTCGTGTAAGAGCTCCAGGAATGTCTTGGGGGCCCTCTTAGCATTCTCAAGTGCTTTTGCCTGACGAGTTTTACGTTTTGTGCCTTTTGATTGCCTTTTCTGGTATACTGCAAAGAAGTCAAAAGAGATGTTGAAAAAAGATGAAAAGGAAAAGGAATTGAAAATAAATAAATAACAACAAAAAGATAAAAGATAAAACCGATATGAATGAGAGCATTGCAAGAGGATGTCAACAGAACTATTTAGAAAGAAAAAACACAATGAAGAACAAGAATTATGTCATCAAGTTAACAAATGCTACTACTTCTCAGAGATGAACACTAACATCATGTTGCAAGGTAAGAAGAGGACAGTCTTGGACAACGGGAGTCAAAAGAAGGATTTTCAGTGGAAGTATGCAAATTTAGTTCCGGTTGAAGAGTATTTAAGGTGCACATTTTGTGAGCAGCAATGCGGTGATTACACATCAATGCCTTAGGACTTCGATCTCACCTAATGAGGGGAGTAGAGTGGCTGACCTTACAATTTTGGCTACTAAAAAAATGGTCTCCGAAAGCCCAAAAACTGAATCCAAAAATCCTATTCAACCTGCATCAGCAATTTCTAAAAGAAAGGAAACAGAGAAGCTTCTTACAAGGTGGTTGGTCTGGCGAGAACTTCATTTATGAGAATTATAAAACTACCAGACAACAATTTATATAGAAAGGCAAACAATATATTATCACCCCACACAACAACATCTTATTAGCTGAAAAAAGCTATTCATACCATCAAACAAACACTTGTAGGTCAATCAATTATTTAGAATAATCAGATGATTAGGGCAGCTGCATATTCCCTTTTGATAAGTAATTAGGACAGCAACAGTAGATCAAGAACTCCAAATATCAAGAACATCAATAAGTATGTCTACCATGCATGTTAAGTTATTGCCAAATACATATAAATACACTGTAAAAGACCTAAGGAACTAATAGCAATAACCCATTGATGTAATTGAGTTAAATAAATGGTCGATTAAATTCAGTTTTGAAAGAACAATATAGAAGCCAAAACAAATCAGAACTTTAACTCACGCTTACAACCAAAAAAAAATAAAAATAAAAAGACCCAAAAGATTCAAATTTTGAAAAATTCAAAAAAGACCTTGATCATCATCATCATCAAGAGAAGCGTCATCGTCTTCGTTAGCCTCCATCATTTCTGCTCCCATGTAGTCACTCTCCAAAGCTTCTAGACGAGCCAGAGCTGCCTAAATAACGAATTTGAAAAAACATTCAGTAAAACTCCCAATTGAATTGATTGACCGGTACAATGTCATTCAAATTCACTGACAAGCTTCAACGGAAGGAATTCAACAGACCTGGGTTCGATTGTCGCTGCTCGCGAGAGCAGCGACCATTCTTGGAGCAACCTTACGAGTTCGGCTCGACGTGCGACGAATCGTATTGGACATGTCGTCGTCCATTGCTGCGAAAACGTGACTCGAATTAGATGAAAAAAAAAAAAAAGAAGAAGATAAATTTAAAGTCTTTCCAACACCATGAAGACAACGACAAGAACCAAAAGATGCCTGGAATGGAAACCCTAACATTGTATTAGCGAAACCCTATTTTCACACAGATTTTAATATATACAAACAAACATTGTATAAATTTATTTCGGAGTTCAAGATTACGCAAAGAGAGAAAAAGAGACTAACCGGGTTATCTATGGCCGCCAATGAAGCACAAACGGAAGCAGCTAGAGGGGACTCTGTTCCTGTTTGGGCGAGCAGAGAGGCTGATACGAGTGAACGAGTGAAGTGAGTCTGACTCGTCGTTAAATCAGCGCGGGCTTTAAGAAGTAAATATTGCGCGTGTCTCACATACAAGTTAAAATGCACCATTTACGGCAACTTGTTTACCTGGTAAAAATTGAATTTTCTACCAAGACTATACTTTATAACTTTATAACTTTATGCTACTGAGAATCAGGTTAAAAATGATTTGTTTCGTAATTAAAATTTATTTACGTCACGTTTTATAGCAACGTGAGTCTGATTGACGTGGTACCGAGTGTTGAGACAATGAGAGGACTACATGAACACTCGAGAGAATGAGAGAACTCCAGAGCGTCATCAATTCGAAACCCTAGCTGCTGTTTCTTTCGCAGGTGAAATTTCACGAAATTTCAAACAAAATCTCAAACATAGCATGGATTCGAACTCCAGTGACAGACGTTCAGTGTTTAAGGTGTCTTCTCTCTCTATCTCTTCATTTTCATCTCTTAAATCGTCTTTATTTTATTGTTGGATGGATGAATATATACTTGTTCTTCTGTTTTGGTCTGTGATGATGGTGTCGTTTATTTGCTTCAATTCTTGACAATTAGATCTGATGATTTGTGTTGATGCAAAAATCTGCATGTTCCGGAGCCGTGACGATTCCTGCAAGGCAAAAGAATAGAGATGACTGGCGTGGTGCCGGCCGGGTGCACCCCGATGTGTAGTACTTGACGATTCAAAATCCGATCAAGCTTGCAATATGGGATTTATGGCGTACCTTTTTATGTTGACTGACCTCACTTTTATAGAAAGTTAGGGTTGACGTTTTCGCATTTCCTTTCGGGAAAGAAGGGATGAATTAATCGTATCTTTAGTGCAAGATTTGAATTAATCAAATCTTATCCTTTAATTATCTTATGAGATGGTCACCTTATCTTTTTAAATTTATCTATACCCTTTGAATCTCCATATCACTTGAAATTCTTATCTAGTCGAATATTCCGTATTAGTAGTCCCCCATTCCTGAAATCTTGTTTGTCAAGCGTCGGGAATGCCAAGTTCTTCCAAGCTAAGCATGCTTGATGATTACTTTCTTGCCCCTTTTAATAAGGCAGTAGATTTGCTCGAGCTTTGTGAGCTCACCCTTTAAATAGGGAGTAACTAACCCCTCGTCTCTTTATCGAGGGAAGAAAATGAAGTTAACCCTTCGTTCCTTTACGGAGAAAGAGGTGTAGTCTTAATGAGGGTGACCCTTTTAATACGAGAGATAGTCGTCTCGTCTCTCTAGTAAATGAAGGAAGTTTTAATTCTCTCACCCTTCTGTGTAGAGGGAGTAGTTATTTTCTCGTTCCTTTAATAATAGAAGAAGGTGTTGTCAACCTCTCGTCCCTTTAATAAGGGAAGAAGATGTAGTTGGTCTCTTATCCTTTTAATGAAGGAATGAGGTGTAGTCGGCCTCTTATCTTTTAATACAAGACACATTAACTTGATCCCTTTTAGTACGGAGAATGACAATTGCGAGCTTCATTTAGCTTGGACCCTTATAGTATGGGGCAATTTGATTTCGACTCCTTTTACTACAGAGGACGACAATTACGAGCTTCAGTCAGTTCAGGCCCTTATAGTACGGAGCACTTTTATTTCAACCCCTTTTAATACGGGGAACAACGATTATGAGCTTCATTCAACTCGCCCCTTTAATAAGGAGGTTCGTATTAATTCTGAGCTTGCCCCTTTAATAAGGAGGTTCATAATCGCCCTTTTATTTGGGGGTTGTCTCGAGTCTTACAATTTTTTTTTTTTTTTTGATTGAGTCTCAACGTGATTGGCCAATAATATTCTCATCGAATGGCATTGTATGCTAGGTATTGCTTCCTGGATGACTTTAAGCTTCAAAAGTATGCTCGTAAGTCATGCTCAGGAAGTGAGCAAAGATGGACCAACCTTATAGTAATGTTTATATGTGTTGAAAATAATGTGCAGTAAATGATTTTTTTCTTTTTATTTTCAAAAATTTTACTGTTTTAAGAAACTAAGCTAGAGTCTCGTGTGTTGTGTTGAATGTGAGAATCTCAAACCATATTACTTTTACTCAAAAATATTCAAATACTCACTCTCATTAAACTATATATGCTCCAATCAGAAAGCACCTTTAAATGCTAAAGAGGATTATCAAGTGCATGTAAGAATAATGCTCACACTCTAATTAGTTAAATCATAAAAGGTAGTGATATGATCAATTCTATAAATGTACAAATATGTATATATGTACCATAACTCATGTCTATTAATGAGTAGATTTAAATTTATAAAAATATACATGTTTACCTTACATGCCATGCTATGGACCTGAGTGATCTCAAAGCTATACTAGTTGATGAAATAATAACTAAATTAATTTATTGGTAGGCAACTCCAGACATACTATATGTAATAGAAACAATCAATTTTTGAGAACAGCAAGGACAATCTTCATTTTAACGAAGAAGATGAAATATAAAGTACGCATAATCCATACCAGGAGGGTCAAGGTGACTCTTTAAAACCATTTATAGCAGTCTATTTGGAAACGGTTGCCAAACGGATATGTAAAAATTATTTGTTGACATGCCAGTCCAGTAACTCATTTATATATATATATATATATATATATATATATATATTGAATTTTCGGATTCAAAAGCCTTTGTCATTTGTTTAAAAGATAATAAATAGCAATGTGAATGAGATTTGATCCCACCCTCAGGACTTAGATTCGACTTGGACAGTGTGGGTCAATCGGCAAAAAATTTAAGAACCAAAACAAAAGAATTGATCTTCTTTATGAGATAGATTCTACCTACTTTAGATAAATCCTCTTTGTCTCATAGGAATGATGAGACAATTGCTATATATATTTAAACAAATTCAACTCGTAACAAATAGTGAAATAAAATTTCAGTATACCCTACTAAGATATCATTATTAAGCTTAATTAATCCGCTGCACACATCTATTTCTTAGTAAAAACAAAAATGCATCTATGTCTATAATAGACACATGTAGGTTAATTCTGATAAGCAAATGCAATTTATATACAGATGAAATAGGACAATATAATCACTCCCAAGGAACTCAAATCATTAATCTGAACATTAAGATCATCTGTTGTGAGTTGGGTACGTAGTAGGCATGTACGGGAGTAGGGAAATATTCCTCTTTTAATGCATGGGCCCATATAAGAGCCTGAAAAATTCAAAAATATACGGACATGCCTATGCACCAATATATGAGCTAACATTAATTAGCAATAAATTAACTAATTAACATAATTTAAATAACCTGCATACCTGCCTTACAAAAGCTTATAGGGTTGAGAAACTGTTCACGGCAATGGATCTGATCGCCTTTGTTCACGGTAATGGATCTGATCGCTTTTGTTCACGGCAATGGATCTGATCGCCTATGTTAGGATGATAGCTCAGTGCGCCATTAAAACAATCGTTTCAGAGAGAGACTGATTTAGACCCTTGAGATAAAGCTTCCTCCACCATGCTCTGTAAACGGCTCTACTTGATTTACAACAATCAAGATCCTTGGTTGTATATGTAGATGGAAATAGAGAAAAGAGTCCTGTTCGGAACCAGATTTGGGCCTTGTGACCTGTGAAAGCGGCCCTCTAATGAACTCTAATGAACAGAACATGAGAGTGAGCCAGCGAACACAAATATCACTGAAAAGATCAAAAATTTCTCGATCGTGATTTATTTTGGAAAAAATAATTAGGAATTTCTGGGAAAAAATCAGAAATTCCTTGATTGTAATTTCTTTGCGGGACTAGTTGTAATTTTTTTATGGGACTAACACACGTTCCCACAGATGGCGCCAACTGTTGATGCAAAAATCTGCACGTTCCGGAACCGGTGACGATTCCTGTAAGACGAGAAAAGAGTTGACCGGCGTGGTGCCGGCCGGGTGCATTCCGACGGTCAAGTTAGTACTTGACGATTCAAAATCCGATCAAGCCTGCAATATGAGATTTATGGCGTACCTTTTTATTCCGACGGTCAAGTTAGTACTTGACGATTCAAAATCCGATCAAGCCTGCAATATGAGATTTATGGCGTACCTTTTTATGTTGACTGGCCTCACTTTTATAGAAAGTTGAAGTTGTCGTTTCCGCATTTCCTTCTGGAAGAGAAGGGATTAGTTAATCATATCTTTAGTGCAAGATTTGAATTAATCAAATCTTATCCTTTAATTACCTTATGAGATGGTCACCTTATCTTCTTAAATTTATCCATGCCCTTTGAGTCTCCATATCACTTGGAATTCTTATCTAGTCGAATATTCCGTATCAATTTGTATTTCATGTTTGTTGCTGTTTGGAGTTTTATGTATTGATTTCATCAAGTTTTGATAAATTGTTTCAAAGATACGGGAATTCAGTTTGTTAAAGTTCATGTAGTGGAATTTTATTTTTATTTTTTTTCATACGATTTCATCAAGTGTTTGATAAATTGTTTCAAAGACACTAGAGCTCAGTTTGTTGAAGTTCATGTATGTCTATATGCCTAAAAATGTATATAGTGGTACTAACCCCCCTTCCAACAATTATGTGAATAAGGAAGCTCGTAGCTGCAGAATATGAAAGAAATAATTAGATAGAGGGCAGGAGTTGTTGGAAGCATTGAAATAATGTAAAGACCTGAGTTACTATAGGTTTTTATGCAGAGGTAATGAAAGTTCAAACTTTGGGCATTCTTCTCAAATATGGTATAATAAATGGCAGATTTTGAATCAAATTCCATGATCTCAAAATAGTCTCACTTCATGGATCTAATGATGGATGGAAACGACACCTCATTTTAGAATCCTACCAAGTCTTAACTTGTCTTCTATAGGAGCCCCTTCATCAGTATGCTTCAATTCTAACAATTCAAATCATCAAGATATATGGATAAAAGTGATTAAATGATTAACATAACATCAAAATTGGTGAGAATTTAATCTAAAATCACATTTTGTTTTCGCCTCTTCTCTGTTAGGCAACATAATTGCTCTTATGCATAAGGCATTGCCACAACCTGGAATCTCCCAATTCGTTTTTTGACCCCATTGATAGAAATCTGTTTTTTTTTAATTCTTTCTTTCTATCAGTAACTTCCCAATCTCTTCTCTGTTCTTGTTGGGTATTTCTTTCTATCCCTTGTCTGTGGTAGTTATTTAGTTGGCTATTTGAGCTGGGCTGATTTCTAGTGGCTTGTGCTTGGCGTTTTGCCTTTGTTTGGCCTTTAATTTAGGCTTCTTTGGGATTCTGGCCATGTTTATTGTAAGGCCCCTTGGGTCTTGTTATATTGTATACTATTTTATTCTCCACACCCCCCCCCCCCCCCCCCCCCTCCTCTTTTTACACACTTTAAGCTGAAAAATTAAGAATAAAAAAAAAATCATATTTCCCCTCTACCACTTATTATAATTTGATGGCACCATCTAGTTTACTTTACTAGTCTTAAATACACTAAACAAATATACGTACTTCCTAGACCCTTTAAAATTTCTAGAATTCATATTCTTGGATCAGTCAAGCGATTTTGGTAACTGGTTATTGCTTAGTATCATACTTTATTGTTTTGACTTTAATCTGCGTGTTTCTATTTTTCCTAGTTGATACTTCCCCCACCCCCGCGGTGACTTGTTTGCACCCAAGAGGAATCGAACCTTATCTGCATGTTTCTAAGTTGTTTTGAGTTTGGTTTGGTATGTACATAACTGATTTGGTTAATGTTTGTTGTAAGAATAAGATGATTGAATTTAAACCTGTTAGGTGGTCAGGTCGTATATGTTTGCATATTGAACATTTGGGGGAAGAGTTCAATTTGGGTCTGATACATATAAATATATGCACCTTTGACGAATTTTGTATGCACATATACGTTTGAGGTCTTTGCATGTGTGTTTGTGGTGGTATGCTGTCCATTTCAGTTTTTAGACGTGTCGTAAATGGATCCTTTGATATGGTGCTATTGAGTGGTTCTTTCAGGATCTGATAGTTTTGTAATAATGTTGTTAATTTTTTGCATAGGTTTATTCATCCCCTTGTATATGGTTAGTATCCTAGAACAATGCAAGAAATTGTTGGAGATAGACTGCCCAATTCACAGAAGAAGAGGTGTCAACCAACATACTTATATAGAGAATCCAAAGAATCAAACCAAACCAAAAGAGCTGGGCTACCGACAGGACTGGAATACTGGATTTGTTTGCAAGAAATTGTCCTACTCTGTTTTCTTGCTTGGGCTTTGCAGAGTAGCGGAAAGCAGATTGGTAGGTAATTTTAGTCACATCATACATTGATCTCTATGTCCAAGTTCACATCAAGTTTCTACAAGAGATTTTATTGATTTTATTTTTCAATTAATTACTCATAGTTTTAGCTTTTTAATTGAATATCTGCAGGCAAATTCTTATTGACTTTACAATGTACCTTGGGGTCTGTACAAAGCAGTGAAGTACATCAAAGAAAACTATGAAAATCCCACCATTATTTTGGCTGAAAACATTATATATTATTAACCTTTTTCACATTAAAAATCATGTGCTGGTATGCTGTCCATTGTCTTGGTGTTTTTAGAATTTTGCACTAGTAGTCTTTAGATCTGCTAGTCCAAACCATGAAAAGAGAAACATCCTGACTCACGGTTTGGCTTTCAAGATGAGAGTGCTCTATTTTGCCGTTCAGCAGGTACGAGTCCTATTCGATTTCAATCAATTTGATCTATATTATTACACAAAGTCAATGAAACTTTTTTTTCGTCATTCTACAGGTCATTCAACTTAAAGAGCTTAGTCTTCGTTTCTTCCTATTTCTATAGCAGATTATTATCATTGTTATTTTTAACATTTAAGTCCATAAAATTGATTTGTTTGGATACAAAAAATATTTCAGTGGAAACAAAAATTCAATCTGGGTGTTGTACTGGTGATAGTTCTTTAGTTTTCAATTATATTAAATTACCATCTTAGAAAAAACTGATTAATTGTTGATGTGGGATCCAGGGGAGGCAAAGGAGGACCATGCTAAAGTAACTACTTACTGTTAGCTATAACAGGTGAAAATAATTGTTGTCTGATCCAATATTATAAAATTGGCATAAATATTCTTTCTTTGCATATCATTAATAAAAGAATCATAGTACTTATCAAAATAAATAAATAATAAAAGAATCATATCATTAACTCAAGTTTCATCCAAATTCTCTCTACTAGAGTACCTGTAAGTTAATGGACAAGAGTGTATACTTGGTGTTTACCCCCACTTTGCTTGTTCTGTTTTGCATGATAGTTTTTAGAATTTTGAAAAAATATTCAATTGATTGGACTGATACCTTCAACCCTTTCTCAGATTCCAAACTTTTTGTTGTGCAGGAGTTTGTGGAATGTGCTGTAAGCAAGTGATTGACATCAATTATTACAAACAAAATAATGTATGATGGAAACAAGATGTTGGTATTGTGGTCCCTGTTGCTCCTCTGGGGTATCAGCAGTAAGGTCCACAGTATATCTTGCTGTTGATTCTTGTATCCCCTATTTTTTTCTATCTGCTAGTGGTCTAAACCTTCGGTCTTCATATTGCCCTTTGTTTTTTACGGCAATGAGTGCTGTCTGGCAATTAAGGAAGATGAGAAGAGACTTCGCTCCATGGCATGATGGCATCAGTTTGTCAAGTACAATTCAATTTCTATGTATTCAATTTCACAATGGCAAATGGTGACAGATTCAGGCCGGTAACCGGTATGCTCAGAACCCAGTCGTCCAATAGCCGGCCAAATGAGATCTCCACCTATGTTGATACTGTTACCGTAAGCATAGAACGAGGAAAATGGAACTATTGGAATGGCAGCCCAGAAGTGTTGGTTTGAATCCAACTCGTGACAGCCGTCAGGTGCTGGAGATTTGTAAGGCCCCCCCCATAAAGCTTATCTGATCTCATCTTCAGGAGACTCTTTGTGGGAAGATCTTGATTCATTTCTTCTGTCATTTTTTGAGGAATATTCATTCAACACTTTGGGCCAAGTCAGGCTTTTGTGACTAAATCTTTCTTTTTTTTTTTCTTTTTTTTTTTTTTTTAATAAAATTAGTCTCTCAGGTGAGAACACACCAAAACTAGTAGGAACTGAAAGACAAATTCTAGGTATGCAGCTTTTGTTTTGGTGTATGCATTTACCACCATAGACATTGCTTTATGTAGCTTCTCTTTCATTAACAATTGTAAATGAGTCGAATAATTTGAGCTAGTTGATGACTGGATAGGCAAATATGGATTTGGCTTATATGAAGAATATTATGCATTTGATTTACTTTTCATCCGGCTTAATTATAAGGCCTTTTTATAGGTTAAGATGCATTGTTTCTTTTCTTTTTTGTATACCTGGTGCAAAAAACCCGGTAAAATGTTTTTAATCAGTATTTACTATTTACCGCATTGCTTGTTAACCACGACAATGTAGGCATGTTCCATTGAAGTATCAAACCATATTATGGTTTCCTCATGTATTGTGCAAAGATCATCCACCGAGGCACTAGTTGCTTGCCAAATCTTCCTAGGAATCATTACTGCAAGAGCACATCTGTAAATATCGATATTCCTGTTATTGGAGCTTAATTTCCAATCTGCCTTTTTTTTTTATAACAAAACTGTTTTAAGAAATCTTCATTATTTGCAAAATAGAAAAATATTCTCAAAAAAAGTAAAACTAAATGGACCCATCACACACACACGATCGCCAGGAAATTGCAGAAGGCCAAGCAATTACCTACCAAAGCTAACATTAGGGAAAACAGTTCATTTTTGGGAGGAAACAATGGGTCCATATATATATATATATATATATATATATATATAACTGGAAAGATTTCCTCCAATTTCTTTGAGTAATTGAGAGCAATAGTTTTATAATACTCCAAAACATTCTCTGATATAAAAATAAAATAAAATAAAATAATAAAAACATAACAACAATCAAAACTGAAATTACAACTTATCCATATAATCAGACTAAAACGTTTTGGGTTCGTTTGGTTAGATAGAACTGGCAAGAAAGGAAAAGAATCGGAAAATATTTAAACTTTTTGTGCGTTTGTTTATGATGAAATGAAAAGTTTTCCGGAAACTGAATTCCGCAAATAGTTAATTTTCTCTAAAACAATTCCGGTATAAAACACGCAAAAATTTTTGTTTCTCGGGAAACTTGTTAAATTACATTTTAAATTCCTATTATACCCATAATTATCATTTGGGTTCCTTTTTCTTTTTCTCCCCTTTTGAGACACATTTTTTTTCCAAACGTAAATGAACTTATGAAATTGGGAAGATCTTATTTTTTGCATTTTTTTTAAATCTATTTTTATCGCTTTATTCTCTTTTTTTCCCTTTTTTTTCTTTTTTTCCTTTCCAAATAGTTATATATATACATATAAAATATTATGGTGGGTTTTTTTTAAGTACATTATATTAATTTACAATATGTATATATACATATCAACTAGGTTTTAGAATTTGGATACTAGAGTTATTATAAGTTTTAGGGAATATATACGTTCCTTAAAAAGAATAATACAAAATATTCTATAGTTATATAATTCTAGTTAAATTCAAAAAGAAAACCCTCATAAACTTGGTTATTATATATATAATTCTGTTGGTTTTAGTTATTCTAATATAAACAAACATACAGTGGAACAATCCTAATCTTATTCAATTTCGTCAAAGTCCTTCCAATTAGTATATAAATTGTAATGTCCATATATATATATATATATATATATATATATATATATATATATATATATAACGAAATTCAGGTGACTTGGTGTCTTGTACAAACAAATTCAGAATATTATTATCAATAACAAAATTTGATGCATGAATTAACTTTACTCAAATTTATTTGTATTTTTAGTATTTAAAATTATAAGGGCAATTTTAACAAGTACAATCATTTTCTTTTCTCTTTCATTCTATCCAAACTAACAACATAATATTTTCTCACAACTTTCTTGAAAAATTTTCATGCTAATTAAATGCACCATGGAAACTTAATTTTCTTTTCTTTCACTTCACTTTCTTTCATTTTTACTTTCCACCATCTATTTCCATCTAACCAAACAGACCCTTTAGATTCAACCTATTCAACGGATGTAAACTCAACACTTGTTTGAAAATATTCAAATGTTGCCACATATATCCTAGTAAGTTTGACAGCATGCACATCCTACAATTGTTACTTTCTCAATCATGATAATGCAATACTGGTGAACGACCCAACAATAAAATCTCATGGGTGCACCATATTCGACGGCAAATTCTCCCTTTTCCAAGCTGCTGCTTCTCATAGTCTTCTTCTAATATCCAAAACATCATTTCATTCAAATCAATCAGACCCAAACTTTCCCCCACTTTGAAGGTTGGAAGGGCACTCATCCCGAACACCCTAGGAAAGGCAAAGGAGTGTGAGGGGACTTCCAATTGCCCCCAATAACAATAGGATTTTTCTTTCAATTCTTGTCCGAATCAAAAGTGTCAGTACAGATTTTTCGTTCAAAGATTGGATATAGATGATACCAAACGCCAATTTTGCTGGTTCTAACAATCTATAACAAAAGAAAAGGTCGAGTGCATCTAATTGAAGACAGGGTTGAGGAGAATCATGAAAGATATGATCCTATAGAAATTAGGGTTGACCTGAAGACAGTCAACCCTAGGACATTGAGGACCGAGTGGAATAGAGGATGAAATGGGAACCTAACCACACTGAGTTGGGATGAAGTGAACAAGATTTCATCATCTTCAAGACCCCTCCTAACGCTAGCACCCTCATCATCCAAATAAAGAAGGGTGGTGACGCCGTCAAGGATGTTATAACGGAGGCAAAGGGCTTCTGTATTAGTAATGGCCATGGTAATAGGAGAAAGGTCGAAGAAAGAAAAAGAATAAAGAAATGAACAAAGCAGTCTCCAATTTATAAGCCATCATCACAGCCTTCGTCGCCGTCATTACGATGCGTAATGACGGCGACGAAGGCTGTGATGATGGCTTATAAATTGGAGACTGCTTTGTTCATTTCTTTATTCTTTTTCTTTCTTCGACCTTTCTCCTATTACCATGTCCGTTACTAACATAGAAGCCCTTCTTCACCTTGGTTATAACATGACCACCCGTCTTTATTTGGACGACGAGGGTGCTAGCACTGGGAGGGGTCTTGAAGATAATGAAATCTTGTTCACCCCAACCCAACTCAGTGTGGTTAGGTTTCCACTTCATCCTCTATTCCACTCGGTCCTCAATGTCCTAGGGTTGGAGCTCTTCTAGCTGGTCAACCCTAATTTCTATAGGATCATGATTCTCCTAAACTTGGACTGGGGTCTTCAACTAGATGCACTCAACCTTTTCTTTTGCTATAGATTGATTAGAACTAGCAAAACTAACTTTCGGTATCATCTATATCCAATCTCCGAACTGAAGATCTGTACTAACACTTCTGATTCGAACAAGAATTGGAAGAAAAATCCTATTGTTATTGGGGGCAATTGGAAGTCCCTCACACTCCTTTGCCTGTTTTGTATAGCAACTCCCTCCAGTCACCCTCAACCCCTCCGGAAGTTGTATGATTCGGAGCTTCTCACTTCCTACTTCCAAAACCAGAATCACAGACGACACAATTTTAGCTAATAAGTAGGTATATAACACCATGCAACAGAATTCAGCCACAAAACCAGGAGCCCAAGCATCCCGATGATCATGATTACCGAATTGATTTCTCTCCACGCGTCAAAATCTTGTACTGGACTTCCCTACCTGATCAGGCTGATCCTGATATATGATGTTTATATTTAATGACATATGCTACTTGGTGGAAGGATCAAACCCTATAAAGTTTTGCGAATGCAAATTCAATGAACTGAAACCTCCTCCTGATACATCAGGCGGTTTAATCGCCATCAGCTGTGGAAGGACTCGGGTTTCTCTTGTACTTGGATTCATTATATATGTCCCATGGGCTCGAAAATTCTTTAGAAGACAGTTTGAGAAAGCGAATGTCTCGGCCTCCCTCGGGATCTGAGGAGTAGAGATTATAAATTCCATCCCCATGATAAACCAGAAGGAGTTTTGTACCGCGCGTCAAGCCGAGTATGAGAAAGAGTATAGTGCAAGTCAATGAAAAGATCGAGGATCATCAATTATAGAACACCATAACTTAGAAACGCACCTTAATCGCAGCAAACTTTCCACAGGAAGATCTTTGAGTACCTGCACCATGATCGCTCGGCATAAACCAGCCTTTTTGCTTTCCTCCATTTTAATAGAAATTTTAGGGTTTTGAGTTTTTCTTTTTCTAAAGGTGGGTTTTTGAGTTGCTGAAAAGTGTCCACTCCTATATATATTGTTCAATTCTGACAATAACTAATGACAGTGCATGTTAAAAAAATAAAAAAATAAAAAATTGTAGGGCAATGTAGGCATATCTCACAATATTATTCATTTTCTTGGGTATTCTAGAATAATAAATAAATAAAAAACAGTTGAGCAATTGTTTATATGTAAATGATTTACAAAGTGGGCCATTAAAGACAATGAGTAGCCCAATTTCAGGCTACCAAAAAAGGCGACCATTAAGCCTAACCAAGAAGACAGAATACAGCCCAAGTAAAAGGGACCCCAGCCCAAAAACCAACCCAAGCAAAGCTGTTTGTTCTCATTCTTTTGCTTTCTTTTGTGGGGTTCCACTTCCCTTGCATATTGTATTTTTTTTTTTTTTTTCCTTTTAATACAAATTTATTTACTGAAAGATAAAATAAAATAAATGAAGGCAAACTCCTAAACATATTTCTTGGTTTCACACAGCCCCACAAGACTCCGATATATGCTTCTAGTGCTAGGCCCAAATCCAAGTGGAACTTTCTCCACGTGGAGCTATTACCCACTTGAGAAACAACTCATAGTGACCCAACATGAATTTTCTAGTTTAGTCGAGCATTAATTCATGCTTTTTCAACAACAAATTTTGTACATATAATAATAATAATAATAATCAATTTTTGTTAACCATTTTTCTAACTTCTCTTTTTCAGAATGTGTAACGAAGCTGATACAAATCGGACGCAGTTGCTTACGTGTCGTTTAATAATTAGTTTAGAATTAATAGTTTCGAAATCATATAATAATTTCCTAAATCCAGATAAGAAGAGTCATTCCTGTACTTAAGAGGATTTAAAGTGGTTCAGCTAGGTTCCAGCCGCCATGTCTCAGAGCTCAGGGTACAAAATAAAGAGATCTCGTGCAGGACCTGACATATATGTTGAACTCA